AATAAGTTAAATACAATCCATCAGACACACCGAAATGTAAGGAAGTTCATCAATAGTACAGAAGAGATTCTTAACGGCGGATGAAGAATAATATAATCGCAGCTGCAACACCCACAATAGAGGACAATAAATACTAAAACTCAGATATAAAACAGAAGAACTTATAAATTTGAACGAACCCTAGTTTCCCGAACTTTGGAACTCTCAACTTGATTCTCTAAGTCATATACACGATTTGATATTCTTACTTAAGAATTAGATGTTGGAAATTAAACAACTTAAAGACTCACCTAATTGCCGACGCATAAGTTTCAATTCTTGGAGAGGGTTTTCATCAATGGCAATTGAGGAACTACTTCGCGTATCTTCCTGAATATAGCTTAAACAAAAATACAACAAATAATCATACGACAATAGTGGGTTCATCAGGATATAGTTTGTCGACAGTGATACGGCTAGGTACGTCTTGAGATTCTATCTGAAAGCAGACATAACTGAAGAACGCAATTACACAGTAATCTAACTTTGATATCGCCATGAACTTCATCAGGTATTCTAGGCTGTGATGCATATCCATGATAACCTTCACCGCCTGTTAAAATGATTCTATCGGGTACATTCATTCTTTCAACAACTCTCTCGGTATCCAATCCACGTAGACCCTAGATTGAAAGATATTTGTACAAAGTTATCGTAAGAACCTACATAAGCATCGGCAACGAACACAGACTCTCCCGTAGCAGAGATATGCTCTGGAACGTTCATTTCAGTAGCCCTGAAACGCATAAGAATAAGAATAGTTCAGAAGTCTTGGTGAACAAAACAGAAAACTACTACATCATCACACAGTCAACATTGATAATCTTTGATAACGACCTCGACTTAAAAGTATTGCTTTTCACAAATTACACTCCAATTGCGGATGCGACCAATATTACGTATGAAGAAAACCTGAAATAAGCATTTGCCGATATTTAAAACGAAATTTGAATAAATAGCTCTGGATCATAACACACATCTCATATTATTAACAAAAATAAATTTTATTGTAACAGCTTTACGATGGATATCAAGTTGAGTGATGCCGAAAAAATATTTCTAATTCATGGTGCTGAGGCTGGCTTCCGAAATGATGGGCGAGGGTAAGTGCTCTTCGAAAATTGCTTATATCTTCTTCTAGTTGCGAGGACTTCCGTCCAATTATTGTTGAGAGAGGTGCATTATCTAGTACTGATGGTTCTGCTAGAGTTCGCTTAGACACCACAGACATATTGGTACCTATTTTGATTATATTTCTTTTGAACATGGTTTATTTAGGTTGGAGTCAAATGCGATCTACAGTTCTTCGAAGATGGTTTAGTTCCCGATTCAAGACTGAGGTTTTCTGTGGATTGTTCTGCCAATGCTTCCCCTCAGTTTGAAGGAAAGGGGGGTGATCTATTTGCCGAGGATATCGTTAGTATGTTGGAAGCTGTATATGATAATTCCTACATTTTACCTGATATCAAAAAGTTTGCTACGCTATTATTCCCATAACTTACCAATTTAACTTAGACTTCAAGTTTCGCCAAATCACTGCTGGATTATATATGTAGATATTGTTATTCTTCAATATGGTGGTAACATAGCCGATGCATGTTCAATTGGGGTAACAACTGAATGTGCGAATCAGTTTTTAATTCGGTTTCAGACTATTGCCGCTTTGAACAATACCCAAATATGTGTAGTTAATCCTAGACCTGCGGACGCCAATCGTATGACTATCGAATTGCCCGATTCTGGAGAGACGTGGAGCTTGAATATTGAAAAGTGCTCCCCGTATTAACTAAAACTATGTTCAACCTTTTTTTTCCAGATTACCCATTCTTATAACAGTAAGTAAAGTTGGCACGGCGAACATCGTCGATTGTTGCACCAATGAGGAAGCTTGTGTCAAATCAGCTCTAGTTATTGGAGTATCACCGCCACCTAAACCTGTAAGTCCAAAATTGATTCACTCATACTATTAACCGAGCTTCAGAATAGTTCAAATGATTCTTGCATAATCTCTCTAGTAAGGCAAACCGCAGGTGGTAGTTTGGAGAATCAATCAGCGGAAGATATGATTGATACGGCCGTTCGAGTATCCCGGGGTTTGCATAAATCCCTCAGAGCTAGGTTTGCAGAAGAAGAATCTTCGGAAGAGCTCAGATTACCTGGTGAAACCTTCCTTTCATAGTTGATGAATTTTTGTATTATTAAAACTAATGAAATCGTTATTTGTTGTTCATTGTCTGTTACGTCTGTTTCCTCTTTAAAGTTTATTCATAACCACAAGTTTTTGATTATAAACAAGTTTATGAGGCATAGCTGGGCCATCCACAAACATGGGAAATGAATTGTCAGCAGTACATGTGTATGTCCCCTCTGACTCTTGGCTAATATTGACAATGATGTCATCTCCTTCGTAAGACACATTAGAGCCTACAACAATCTCAAAAATTAAATAAATTCTGTCACATTACCTAAAGTTGTTCCATCCTTCTCCCAAGTAACGTAGGGAGGGGGGAAACCATAAACGGGACAGGAGAATCGAACAGTATCGCCAGCAGATGCTAACAGTGGAGCAGCATCGATAGTTGCAACTTTACTGTCAGGTTTTTCTTCATATTGAGTCTCAGTCGGTAAAACGAGAATAGGAGGAACTGAAAACAACAGATAAATTTTAACTAAACCCATAACTAACGGTAAATAAAACAAAATCCAGTAGCAATTTGTTCATCAGAGGTCCTAATCTCACACTTGTATTTACCCGCTACAGTAGCTGGAGCTTCTTTTATATCCAAGAAAGTCGTAAATTCAGACAATCCTCCTTCAAATACCTTAAACATAATAATTTATAAGAAAACCCGTTAACTAATACTTTTCCATCGCGGAGTCTAGTGAACTGTCCGTAAGTTATAGGAGTTTTTTCCCCCAAAATCTGAGCACCACACCTAAATAATGAAGCGTGAATGTATATTTCTATACTCTGATACCACAGCTTTCCAATTTGTGCTAGTACTGGTTTGCTGGCGGTCCCAACAAAAGTTTTTGGTTTCCCAACAACAGCCAGATTACCAACAACCGTCAAAGAACAGTCAACAGTACATAAGAGAAAAACTAAAACTAGAAAGTTGCAAAAATACATTTTGGCTTACATAATCCGCACACAGCTTTGATGAACATCATGTGGCTATTCATTGTACACTTTTCTTGGTGGATTGATCCTCATGATAAATGAGGGAGAGATTTGATACTTTCAATTCCTCGTAGATTGATGATAAGAAATCGAAGGAACGCGAGCTGGAGTTTAATCCATATTTCCTCACTTATTCAGTTTTAATGTGAGTGAATCCTTTAATGAATCAATATATTTCATTCCTATTTCCTTCAAATAACTAATGTATCAAATTAATTATGAAAGAGCAAATGTTATCTTCGTAAAGCATCAAAAGTTACAAAGAACACATTGGGTCACCAAAACAATCAAACTACCATTAACCGCGCTCCGTTGCGAAAACGCGGCAATGAAGAACTTTGAAATATAAAGAGCTCATTTGCGTTAACAATTCGTATATATTATTGAAATTGTTGTTTGCTTAAATAATTTATAATAACTACAGCACTTTCTTTCTAATAGTTTGTTAACTTCAGCTTCTTTCAAATTATTCGTTAAATTGTACTCAGTATCAATATGGGAAGAAGCAGTTTGGCTTCGGTAACGGACGCTCGTAAGAGTAGAAACTCTTTAGGGATATGTTGCCCCAACAAGGTACATTTTTTTTAATTTCCTCTTATTCACATTATATTTTAGTCGAATAAAAGGGCCAGTATTGATGTTTGTTTATCTCCTAGAGCTTTAGCAAAAAAGGTATAGTAATTGCAGTTTTGTGTGACTAATAAATTGATACGTTAAGTTAGAAGAAATTAATGACAGGGATTTGGAGAAATCAGACGCCGTTATTGTAGAACTTTCTGGATTTGATAATGTAAGTTCTCGCAATTCTATTCATATTTAATCACAATTCTTAGTCTCATCCTGTAACAACAGAGGAGTATCAAATGCATCGCGAAGCTGTTAGAAAGTTAGCGTCTGATCCAGAGAACTTTGATGTATCTGGTAAAACCGAATTGAACATTGAAGATGCAGCTCTTGCTGGTGCCAAGCTTCTTGTGAATGAAAATAGAACAACTCGCCGATTGTCGAAACTGTAGGTTTCATGAGTGTAACATATTTTAATTTTGTCTTTAGCTTGAAAGAAAGATGTGGCATTGAAGACGAAGAAGTTCTATACAAACCTTTACCTTTGAAGGGGAGAGAAAAGAACAATTGTGAAGAAATGCAAATGTAAGTTACTTCCGGTCGATTCTCACTGTTATCTTGGATATAGGTTGAGAAACGCTTCCGTCGTTGAAAGTTTCGTTGATTTCAAAAAACAATTGGAGTTCAAATCCAATGTTCTTCAATATGTCGAAAATGGCATTGATAAAAGGTCGAAGTCAGAAGGCAGAGTAGCGACTAGGAAACAGTTGGCTCAGGAAAAGCGCATGAATCAACGTAAACGAAAAAATCCAGGATTGGATCAAAAAACACCTAAATGTAAAAAGACCAGTAACCCCCTTGATTGCCATATGGTAAGTGGTGTAATCAGAATTTCTCTTGACAAAATTCTGTTTCAGATTATCGATAAATATGTATTAGAAGTAGCGTCTGATATCCGTGAGTTTTCTAAAAAACGTCGTAGGATCGCACCTATACCTTTCGATCTTGATATTCTTGACGACGATCTTTAAATTTTCTTTTATTTCTTGGAAATACTTTTGAGTTGTCCACCTTCTTGCATGATCTCGTGTTGTCCATTTATTTTCTTGTATTTACACTAGAATTCTTTTCATATTGATTAATTACATTTGTTAATGTGGATGGAATTTACACGCAATAAAATCACCCATCATATATATATATATATATATATATCATAACATATTAATATTGTCCTGATTGATCTGAATACTGTTCGTCATGATACTCACAGGTTTTTCCCCATCCTCATTAGAAGTTGTTGTTAGGGTCTGTATAAAAACTAAATGAATAAACTTTACTATTTTTACCTCGTCATATTTATCCCGAAAGTATTGAGCGCACTTTACGACAATTATCATGAACCAACTATGAATCACTACTGTACAAGCATAAATGAGTGTAGTAACAGTTGCAGTAGAAACCACCACTTAAAGAACAGTTGTTTCCGTTTCAAAAAGACTTATTAACCATCTTTCTGGCTGATTGAAAAAGTATCCGCCAGCAATTGAACTTTGTCAGCCAAAAGAATTTCAACTTGTTCGCCGTAGAATGAAGTAGGATTCACAGCGGCTGCACCATAGAAAACAGTCAAGAGAATACAAAAGCTAATGGTCAGCAGCTGAAAAGGATTATCAAAGATACGACGTCACTGAATTTATTGTCGTAAAAGGTAAATAGTAACATCACTTCCCAAACATGTTATACTTGTCTGAGCTGTTAATTAAATCTCAAAGTTTACGAAATGTGAACAAACAGTCGGTCATTAAAAATGAATTTGACTTACGCTTACTACTGTGAAAGGCTGTAGAAAGGCTGGACGTCGCCTAGCCACCCCGTAAAAAAGACTAACAACAGAAACAGAGTCTGATATGAGAAAAAGCAACTGCCAGTTCCATTCGACCGGAAAAGCACTGTATTACTTTATGACCCAAAACCCAAAGTACCTCTTCTGATTTATATGCGCGAATACCCAAATTCGACACTATGATAAGAGCATAAAAAAATGCAACAGCATAAGCACCATTCTGAAATTATTGAAACTATAATTAATTCCAAATATAGGCAGCGCGAGTTTGCAGAAAATATTAGCATATTCGAAAAGAAACGGCTTCCATTTTTAATTTGCGGCGCACGAGATGCGGTCGGTCGTTTTTGCGCACTAAGAACGGTTGTTTTTGGAAACAGAATCGAAGTGGAAATTAATACTTTATCTTACTTTTCAGAGTAATAGGAAAATCACCTTAATATGTATGGACTCACAACAACATCGGCTTCGATCTGCTACCGAGGGTTCATCGTCAATATGAATTTGCTCTTCGTTACAGCTGCCGTTTTCACCATTTTCAATTTCGGGCACTGGATAAGAAGAAAAGCCATGTTTTTTGGACCATCTGAGATGAACAAGCCAGTGCTCCATTAGTCGCTCATTACAATATATGAAGTAGATATACTATGTTAAATATTGAAAGCTGAAATATGGAAAGTTAATTAAGCAAAGCTTATGAGAAGCTAAACAAAGAGCCTGGTGAATAGGAGTATGAGTAGAAGAAAGTGCGGAGAGACGTGGGTTGGCCAGTCCGACGGCTTTGTGGTCAGTAATTCTGGAAACAAACAGAGATTCACAGAAAACGAAAAAGCTTCGTTTTAGAAAACAGCACAAGCATGTTTGAGTATATTGTTCATGCTGGAGAAAACTTACTATAATACATAACTTAGGCTTCGAACTCTAATAGTAATTGGCAACCTAAAAACCATTCATGACGGTTGCAACTCCCTTCGAACGATGAGAAAAGTTCATTATTGCGTAGCAACTGTCAATCTGCGTAATCGAAGTGGTCTCATTTCTTTTGATATCACGCTATTTCATGCTCAGAAGTTTCTAATTCCACAAGATTGAGTAACCTTAACTTAGGAGGTATTGAGATATAGAGAAGTTTGTTCGTTCATTCGAAAATAGTTCTTGCGTATACATAAAAATGTCTCATCGTTCGATGGTATATGCCTGTAGTTTTGTCAACCAAGGCCAAATGGGGTCGTGTTCTCTCGATCTCTGCTAGTATGGTATTGGACTGTTATACCTTATCATTCCACTCTTTTTATCTGAAACGATTGCATCTTTCCCGTGCTTCTTCTCTTTGAGTTATCATCTCTTTCAGTTTGCTTTCTTCGCTGTAACAATTGGCGATTTTCACACAATTCTCGTCTTCTAAATGCGTTTCACATGCGTATTTCCATATATTCATCTCTTCTTTGCGTTATCTTTAATGACTTACAACTTATTCTTCGCGTATGGCCTGACCCTTGATCACCCAATGGCACTAGCAAACATTCATTAAGAATTATAGATAAGCTGGGTACTGGCGGTGGAGAATTCGTGCACAGGACTCGACGATTACTTCGTGATCGCGGACCTTCTTCTTTACAGGTATTTTTATTGTTATACCGTTTTTCAATGTAAAGTATGCATTTGTAGTTTGTTGGAGATTCCATAATGAAGACATCTCAGTTATATCTTGCTGTTTACAACTTCCTCCAAGTTCTAGGGTTAACAAACTTTGTTTCTCAATTAGAAAACAACATAATCTAGATGGGGCTATATACTCGTAAAAACTCTATGTGGACTAGCAGAGGGTAAGAGCTGGCCAGAGCTCTACTTCAGCGTAGAAACTGCTGTTAAAATTTTCCAAACTGCAGCCATTCTTGAGGTAGGTAATGTTTCTTTCTCTTCAAATCATTGCAGTGTTGTCTCTCTGAAAATTAACAATTTTGAATTTGTTTCGGAACTAGGAATGTTTTATCATTTTAGGTTATTCACTCTCTTATCGGAATCGTTCGTTCACCTTTCGGAACTACTTTGATGCAAATCACTAGCAGAGTTATGCTTGTATGGCCAATCCTACACACTTGTCAAACCGTCAGTTTTAAATTTGAGCGAATTGATTAATACATTAGCTTTAGGCAAGCCAAAGTTTGGGAGTCCCTCTACTTCTTATCGCTTGGTCAATTACCGAAGTCATCAGATACTCTTTCTACGCTTTGAATTTGTTCGATGCCGTCCCTCACTTCCTTATTTTCTTGAGGTTTGTAATTCATAAGCATGAACAAAAAATATCATTTTGGTTACAGATATACAACATTCATAGTCTTGTATCCAATGGGAGTTACTGGAGAACTTTTGACTCTTTTCGGAGCTTTACCAGAGGTTTTGAATATGAAATACACGCACCCCACTATGTCAATCTTACAGGTTGCTCAAAAGAAGTATTATACTTTGGAAATGCCGAATGCTCTGAACATCGGGATCGATTTCTGGTGGGTTTTGGTCATCGCTGCTCTAACTTACATCCCAGGTGAGTAAGATAGAAGTAAGAGAGAGAGAAAATAACTGATTTAGGATTCCCTCAACTTTACTTCTACATGTTCGCCCAAAGAGCAAAAGTCTTAGCTCCCCAAAAGAAGAAAGATTAACGCGTACTGGTACACTAGCCTCATATTTTAATAAATTTATTCTTAATAACGAAAGTGCTAATATATATAAGGCAATGGGTGGGAAAAGCAAAAAAGTTCAAATTTGCGAAGTACTATACCGAGCGTGTTTGTCTGTTTCTGAAGTGAACGGGCTGATTCGTTCTTGGAGTCTGAAGAACCTTCGAATGGCTAGATTATACGGTTTAACAAAGTACAATGTAACCATTGGACTAATGGCAGGGAAAAAACTGAAATTGATCTTATATACGTAAGAGGTAGGAATTACCTGAACAAAGCGTACACTGAATACTCTATGATGGTGAAGTCTATAAATTCCAAGTGATATAAGCCATAAATGGTAATAGGTGGAAACATGAAGAAAATAGGAATGGAAGCTTGTATTGTAATGGCTTTCAATAATTTCTTGTGACCTCTAACAGTCACTTCTCGCATATTCTAAAGTTTCGAGAAAAATCTTAGAAAGAGAGAAATCTCTAATGCTATACCTCATTATTCGCCTTCAAGAACTTGTGAACTTTCTTATAAAAAAATATAACGAGAACGTATATGGGAAACATTGGCAATACAATTGTTCCTAAGACTACACTAGTCATTGGCTGATTCAACATATGGTTCCCAGATATTTGCCATCCAGTCAGATTATAATGAGGCTTGTTAATGAGGAGACTTTCTTCAATCACGGACGTTGGCGATTCCGAAAAAATGAATAAAATCTGAAAATTATTCGTGATTTATGAAGTCTAGGGGAACATTTTTCGTCATTGAACTGATCAAAAATCATAATTTTTGTTAAATCTAATAAATAGTGGAGTTCTAACAATTCAAATTATAAAAATGCCAGCTTCTAGGAAAACTCACATGCTGACCAAGAGCCACCATCCACAAGCATAGGCATAGCAGAACACATGAAGAAACTGTTGGCATTGGCCTTATGAGGATATAATACCGAAAACCAAATGAAAGTGGAAAAGATAAAAACGAATAGAACAAAGAGTGAAGCTATATAGAATATTATACTTTTCTTTCTGATAATCAGATTTACCTGCACACAATATGCTAGATAGGATATATGGGGTCCAAAGAAACGACTAGGACCCAATGGAATGTATGCAAAGGCCCATTTGTTAGGAATTATTCTGAAGTATGACAGATAAACAAAAAGTGTGAGATAAACTGGACTACCTTATTTGAGCAAATGTTCCGGAAAGTGTAAAAACAATGTCTCCAAGAGCTACATTCAACAGGAAGACTCTAAAAACGTTTGTTTACTTTCTATTTTAAGAACAACAACTATGATATGATACCTGTAAGCCGCTAAGGTTTTAGGTGATCGTGTAATAATAAGATAAATAAGTGTAACATTACATACAAGAGCTACTGACCCAGTACAATAGAAAACAGTTGAAAAAAAATAGTCATATAAGGACCAAGAGGTGTTCATCCTATAGTAAATTCAATTTCAACAGGATCATCTATTTCAAAGTACAAAAATATATTGAAAATTATAGGAAAAGGCAAAATGATACATTTGCGAATGAATTGTTTGCGACAGTTTCTGCTAGCCTACAGAGGTAGAAAATGAGAGTAATGAGAGAGAAAGAGAAGAGAGATGGAGAGAAGGTGAATGAGTTGCGAGGGGAATAGAACGATCGACGAACTAAGAACTTAATCAAAAGCCGCTTTCATGAAATTACGCTGACAGCTTTATGATGGCCATATCTAATGAATAATATTAGGAAAATAACGATTTTTGATTTGAAATTTAAAGCATATTCTGAGAATAATTAGAAGATAATCTTATTTTTTCTGATTATCTTTGTATTAAAAGGTTAACTCACATTTTTTTCGCTTGGGAATTTGCCAAAATATCAACTTAATGACGACAACAAGACTTTTCGTTAATGAGACCGTTGGTCCAAAAAAGATCAAACACTACCATATATGGCTAATTAATCCAATGAAATGATTCGGATTTTCGAGAGAACGAGAGATAGGAAGAAGACAGATTATATGCAGACGAGGCTGCAGCACAAAAAAAACAAAAAAAACAAACCTTTTCCTTCAGAAGTGGCGAGATAGAACCCAAGTAGTGAAACATTGGTGGGAGGCTGGAAATATTGAAAACCAAAGATCTTCTTCTCACACTGTTTGCACCAAAAAACTGAATGAAGTTTCCATCTTCCAAACTGTCTTCTGAGAAAATATAATTTTCAAAGGTTCAATGTGATTTGATTTCCCATCTAAATTATTCATCAAATGAATAATGTATTCTATATGTTTACTTTTTAAACGTCGTTGCCTTGGACACCAACAACGCTTCCATGTACATATCAATTTCATTTTTTCTTCCAAAGAAGGCTAGATCCACAGTCTTCTATCTGTAACTCTGTATTCTGGGTTGATGTGATGTCTCTATTTGTTCGATTCTCAACTCCCGTTTGCTCACCAACATCAGCTGTTCGTCTACTTCAATTGTTGAACATAGGTATGGTATCAACGCTTCGATACTACGATCATTCATTTTCAGGAACTGCACTTGCAGACTTCGTTCTTCTCATTAAATGCTCCCTTTTATGTATTTTCTGGCTTCTAACTCTACGTGTTCATAATGATTTCTCCAAGAACTTTGCCATCACCATATCTCTGCCAATAACCGTTGAAGTCATTTTGAACATAATTCTCAGCTTAATTGAAATACTTGTTCGTTATCCAAATATGGACTTGTGAGTGATTACTCGAACACACAGTGAACTAAATGGGTTTTTCTTCTCTTGCACAGACTAGAAATCGTTATGATGGTTCATGGCCAGACAGAAGTTGTTACCAGACGAATTTTTATTTACTGTCTGCTTTTATTTTTGTGGCTTCTAATCTTTTCATTATTCAATTACACCTTATCCAAGCTCTCATATACTATGTGAGTTTCATTTTCATTTTTATTTTTTTCTCAACGTCCTCTCTCTCTCAATCTCTCAATTGCAGTATTTTCTTATTTATGGCATTTATCGCAACAATTTTTGATGTTATTGTTTATGTTTTGACACTTTTCAATTTTAACATTGATAGTATCACATTCTATATTTATATAATCACGTGTGTCTGGCTGCTCCTCTCTTTCACATGTGTAATTGGCATCTCTAACGAATCTCCATTTTTAATAATTACTATTTATAGATCATATTTCTACTTATACTCAAAAAACCTACAACACATGATATGCTTTCACGTAAGAAAATACTTGGTTGGACAATACCTTTCTGTCTGTTTTTGCCATTAGCTTTATTAGATTTCTGTAAGTTTTCCTTCATTTCACAATTGCAACCGACCACTCGTCTCAAAAACAACTTTCGAAAATAGACCAGCTAATCGATAATGTTAATGTCTTCTTAACTATCATTAATCGATATCGTATATTGTTATTTCGTTTCAGTTCATGAATACTGGGATTACATTATTATAATTGAAAAGCTTTCACCAATATTCATTGTTCTTGCTGTATTAACTTTATTACCTTGTTACCGGTTAGTTTGGAAGCAAATTCCAAACAGAATTTTACGTCCACATAGCCATACTCAATAGACTTTTATCTTCAGATCTGTATTAGATTTCATGTTCTGTTCTCCGACATTTCAAACGTCAAATAAAATTCGCCCTGAGGCCATTTCAGACCAAACATTGAGATCATCAGCAAAGCTTACTCGACCTATCATAATTTATCCATCTGATATGCGATCAGATGAGATGGAAATGAACAGAAACGTCATCTATTCCTATTTACAAGAATCACATTGTCAACCAAGTAATCCGTTGGTTTATCAAGTAAAAGTATCAAATTGATATATTTTTCATTTATAAATTTAGTTGTTTTCAAATAATAAACCATTCATCTTCATTCTCATTAATCATTACCTTATTAGGCGCGCAGTATTTAAATCATTTCTTCGAAACAAAAATACCAAAAGTAAAAAGATTTTTAAAAATGGAAAACGATGATGTGAAGGATGTGCAGACGAATCGACATGAGTTTGCAAATACATTCGCTTTCATCACATTCATTACATTCATACTATTTAGCATTTTTTTCATTTACTTCATGTACTGCCGTGCCAAAGGACTGGAAAAAGTGATTTAAGGCAAGTTTGCTGACTCAATTTATATCAGCAAAATGTATTATTTTTAGAAAATTCAATGTGCAATAGCCATTTCCGCATTCAGCAATTGTCATTTCGTTATTTCTTGTGTTTGTGACGGAAGAATAAATGTCCATTCACATGTCGTGCTTTACTTAAATGATATCATTAGATCATCTTATGGCTTAACTGAGTTACTCTCTCTTAGCTTGTAAAGCTTCAGCCGGACATCTAACAATTGTTTTCGCTTGAAAAGCTTCATTCATTTCCGTTTTTTGCATCTGAAAAGAATATTTTTTTTTGTTATACTAATGGTAGGTGGTTCTTTATACTTGATCGCTTTTCTCGAACAATTCGTTATCACTCAGATGGAGCTGCTTTTGCCTCGCAACAGCTTTTGGTTGAAAATCAATCTGAAAATTAAAAAAGATTTATAAATTAGATTAATAAGAAACCAATAATCGTAACCTGATGAGTTGTATATCCTTCAAACCTTCCGTCATTAATTTTCAGATTCTGCGGCTGCTTAATCGGTTTTTGTTTTTGGGTTGTATGAGCTCGAAATGTTTGCTGAAAAATTGTTAAATTTCTTGCTGAAACTCAATATAATATCTGAAATATTAAAATATGATTTGCTTGTTGAACGAAGAATTCGCGATGAAACACCTGAGGGTGGTGAAGCTTGTTTTTCCAAAAACGAAATTTGATGAACTAACTTTGTTAGTTGTTGTTTCGTCAAAATCTCCTTTGAGCTCCCAAGACGATGTGTTCTTGTAACTTTTCGCCCTTTCTCCTTGTACTGGCTGATAAAAAATCTAAAAAAACTTATTAAAACGTCTTATAATGGAGTTCATTGAAACACTAAGAAATGATATCAACATGGGGGTGTAAGTATAGCTTCTATTTGTACCTGATGAGTTGTCATAGTATCCATTGCTTGGTCATCCGAACCCAAGGTCTGAGCACGTCGAATTGGTTTCTGACGCTCAATTTCCGCTTTCTGATAATGCTCCTTGAGAAAATTGAATAAATTATAATATTTTAATTATGTTCAACTTTATTTGTAGTGGTTGAATGAAACACTCCGTCCGAAGAATATATTGTTTCGCGATTTACAACACGTTTAGGTCTTTCAGCCTTTTTTGGAGTGTAAACAGCCTTAGAAACTACAATATACGAAGTAACAAAAATATGTCCATACCCTATTCGTGGTTTGATCTTCGAATTTGATATTTAAAGGTGCAGGATTGTTATTTGCGGGTGGAGGAGCCAGCTCTCGAAGAATCTCTTTTGGAGTATACTCGAGCTATTTTTATTTTTCTCTTTTTCAAATTCGTTATCTTTCAAAATAAACCTTGTTCGTTGTTAAGTCGTCAAATTTGATGGAGGAAGGCAGTGGATCCTGAGAAATTGTCGTCATTTTCGCAAAGTTTTGGGTTTGTCGTGGAACTATTTTGGGAACGAACTCTTCTTGATGCGTTGTTCGTGCATAGAACGGGACTGAGGACGGCGTGTAGGAATGAGATTGCGTTTGGCTAGAAGCGAAGTTTTAACTTATAAAGGCGATAGGATTGAATACCGGGGATAGTTATCTACTTCTTTATACGTATAGGTAGCGTCATGTGTTGTTTCGGAATGAAATGGGATGTCTTGTAACGGCTGGTAGCGATTTTCGTTTGCGACTCTCCTATTGAAGTGGATGAGAAAGAAGCATGAATTATTCACCTCGTTGGCTCAGCAATAATTGGCTGATAGAACTCCTTATGTGTTGTCTGATCGTAAAATGGCTCTGTTGATGGAATATATCTCTCTCGATTGCTCCTAAGTAACTATATCAGTGGAAAATTTATAAAGCTCGGAAGAGTGTCAAAGTCAGACTATAGTGTACTTGGCAGTTTATGGCTGCACAGACTACATAGGTCTTGAGCATTCGTCTATGGATAGTTCGTACTTTTTGTTTAAATCTGGTGTTTTCCAGGTGAATGTGGAGTTATTTGTAGTTTCTGCTGTTCCTAACCGTCTTGAAGATTGTAATTGATAGTCATTTCCCAAATCTTGATACACATCTAGAGACTTGATTAGATGTTTCGTTACCTAGTGAGTGAGAGTAATCATCGCTGAAAGTTGTACGAGGTGGAACATAAAACTCATCCTCATAATCGTACAAAGAAACTTGAAACACAAATTTTCTTAATGAATAATGGAAGTTGAGAAACTTACGTGTATCGTGGGTCATATTTTGTGGAAGAAAAAGTAAAAAGAGTTTCGTAGCCTAGGGAGATGGTTGAGAGTGCTTATTCATTGCAACGAGGTGGGTTAGGATGTTATATATAGATTTTGAAAATCATTTTACGTTTCGCGTCTACTACACTACTTCGTGTCAGTGGGCTTTTATTGGCATAGAATTGAGATAGCCGATTGTCCGGTCATTACCACAATCTTATGAGGAATAGATAAAGATGTGAGAAACAGTGTTGGGTTCATAGCATGTGTACGGGAATCACGTGGAAGACACGTAAAACTCAAGTGATTAACACGTGTCTGCCAACATTACATACAGATCCAGCAGGTCATTGTGGTTTACACTTCGTTTGTTGTATATATTCTTGTTTTTGTGGATGATTGAAAAAAGGAACAAAGTTTATGGGTTATGGATTCAGGTATGAAACCTCTGATTGTATTCCTCCTGGTGTTATCACAGGTTGCCGCCTCGCAACCCACTTATGGCAAGGTATATCATATATCAAAAATTGCCTGCTCAACATTATTGTGACATTAGGTTTCTGGAACTATTGAATCATCAGAAGTTGTGTTAAAATGGACAACTTCTTATGAGGATCAGACTATACGCTTCTCTGTATGGATGACAGGACCAGGTCTTCGTTGGATGGCTATTGGATTTTCGGATCATGGAAAGTTCAACAATTCAGACTTCTGCTTGTTCAGAAACGGAAAACTAAGAGTAAACACATATATTTTTACCTTTTTTGAAATTTGTTTTGTAGGATTATTACACTGATAATGATTTCATATTACATCAAGATATGAATCAGGATTGTGAGCTTATATCCTTTGGGAGACCCCTGTCTGAGAATGTTATCAACTCTGAAGTTCCGAGAAGAGTTTTTGAATTCAGACGTCGATTCTCTACCTGTGATCCTCGTGATTATGCGTTTGAGGTACTTCTTTTTCCTTTCAATGATCTGAATTGTTTCGTTTCAGCCTGGAACTACTCAATTCATTTTCACTGGCGGAAATGTTTTCTCCAAAAACCTCAATGATGCAAAGAAATCTCTTCATTTCGGTCAAGTTATAAATGGTGATAGCGAAATTCCTAAAATGGAGGTGGATAGAAGCCAATTCCGCGTTTTAGCTGACCAAGCTTTGGTAAGTGGAGGACCTATATTAAGTGTTTCTATATACAACCGCTCTATCATGTCTATGGGAACAAATGAAACTGGCTGATTGTGATTTGTTGTTCATTTTTCAGATTCCCGGTGTCGTCACTTCTTACTGGTGTACGGTCAAGAAAGTTCCAGAATATGTGCAGAGTAGAAAACATCATGTTATAATGGTGAGTTGTTCATAAAAGATTAATTTTTCATTTTTTTTCAGATGAATTCAGTTGTTCAGCCTGAGAATAAGCACATCGTACATCACATGGTGGTATGTGAACCGTTTCTTTCTCAAGATTCTTGTACTTTTAGATATACGCTTGCCAAACAAATGATCAAACAGAATTCAGTCTAAACTGTAACGACCCGTTCAAACCAAAGTCTTCGAGCACCTGCAGCCGTGTCGTTGGAGCATGGTCCATGGGTGAAGGGGTAAATCAAATCAAATAAGATTGAATAACTAAACTTTACGTTGAAGTCTGTTTCCTATCCTCCCGAAGCTGGCTTACCTATAGGTGGCTCACAAGGATCTTCCTACTTAATGGTCGAAATCCATTACAATAATGTTGAGAAAGTTACTGGAGTTAGGGATAGCTCAGGATTCCAGTTTGTTGTCACCCCACAATTAAGGTGAGTCTGGGATGAGAACGCAGCATCGAATGATTTTTTTTCAGGCTATTCGATGCTGGAATTATGGAACTCGGATTGATTTACTCCGATGCTAACTCTATACCACCTCAACAGGATGCTTTTCCGATAACTGGATATTGTGTGGAAGATTGTACGAAGAAGGTAGCTTAGAATGGATTGCAGTTAAACCTCAGAAACATTAAAGTTGCCAACAGAAGGAATCCAAGTGTTCGCCAGTCAGTTGCACGCTCACTTGACAGGAAGAAAGTTATGGACTAGTCATTATCGAAATGGTCTCATTGATACTGAACAGCTAGTTGTTATTCTGTATGGTTATTTCAGGAGTGAAAGTTGGAGAGCTTAATAGAGATAATCACTACAGTCCGCATTGGCAACATGTTCAACAAGTTCGACCATATGTTCACGTCAAACAGGGAGATGTTCTAGCAACAACCTGTGTTTATGAGACAAGAGACAGAAGTAGCATGACTCTGGTATGCAAAAGTAAATACTAAGGATGTTTCATTCTTCTTTCAGGGAGGTTATGGCATTGAAGATGAGATGTGTGTCAATTACATCTATTATTTTCCTGTTTCTGAAATTGAAGTTTGTAAGTCAGCTGTTGATAACAGCTCATTGCATTCATATTTCGCGCATAAGTACGTTTTCCTCTATTTTGAAATAAAATAGATTTGTTATTTTCAGGCATAAAATCCAAAACGTGGAACTGCCGATCCATCTCAAATATAATTCGATTGACTGGACGGAGGAGAAGTCTTTATCACTCAAAGAGTTATATTCATCAGCGCCATTAAACATGCATTGTCTCCAGCATGATGGAACATTATTTTCGGTAAGAGGTTTTGTGAGATGCAGGGATAAGCTTTGCTATGTTTCAGGGCCATAACTGGTCAAGCATCCCTGTCCCAAGAATAAATGCAGGTCCTTTCGTTAAAATGAGAGATGTTTATGAATGTCCATCGTTGAATGACTACTAGTCAGTTTTTTGTTTTTTATTCAATAAATTTTTCATAATTTTCAAATAATAGAACGTTTTTCCTAAATTCGGCTATACATGAGTCAATTTCACAGAACGATATGAAGAGGAACAACGTAAAGTTCGTGATGAGGGAAAAGTTCACTAATACAAAGCAAAAAGGAATGCTGAAACATTTGAAAGCTTTCTCAATTCGTCTGAGAATACAACAAAGAAATATCAAACAGGGAACCATTCGGTACCTACACCGTCGAAGTATGAATAGTTAATTTTGAACTCGGGGACTATCATCATCTCCGAACTCAACTCTAGGGGCTCGGGGAGAAGGCTTCTTCTCTTGCAGAGAAGATGAAGATGGAGCAGCTGATTCTTGTTTTATTATATAAACTCGCTTTGAAGGTGATGATCTAAATAATGGAGATTCCTGGGTTTTTGATTGTAGTGAACAGACCTGTCTAAATCTTCAGCCATAACTCGCCGTGTGGGTGAAACAGAGATACGGAATCTACGTGTAGGTGAGGTAGACCGTCTGTCAGCCGGATTGGTCTGCTCAGAAGGGGAACAAGTCTAGAAGAACAAAGTTAAAACATCGCCGATTGCTAAACTGTTCACTTCATGTTCAAACTTGCGATGTTGTGGAATGGGAGGTCTGGAATCCCGATGAATATTTGAAGGCCCAGGACGATTGTTGTTGTTACTATGACTACTATTACTACTACTATTACTAGGAATATCCGTCTGAAAAAAGAGAAGAGTATGTAGATCAAAAAATCGAGAAACGTACAGATGCAGGAATCGTTGTGTGAGGAATAGATTTTCCAAATGCTAAAGGGGATCTTTTCATCAGCTGATCCCTCCTGGCTTTAACCTTAAATGGAAACATAGTTATTTCAAAGAAAGAGCCTTACTTCATCAATGGAAGGCCATGGTTGGAATTGGCTGTTTGTATCATTTGATTTGTATCTGGAAAAAAAGTTTTATGAATGAAAATGAAGTTCACTCACTTATTTCCTTGTTTGATATCCGCATCTGTCAACTCGCTGGATGAGGAAGGTGGAACGGATCTGTATACTTCTGGACGAAGCTCCTGATCTTCTCTGAGAGCTTGCGAAGACACCATTCTGTAAAGTGAAGGAGATAACAATATAATTGGAAAGATTATGCAAAAAGCAAGAATTCAACCAAAAAGATAAAGTGAGAACTAGCAGTCAAAGCACAACAAGATAAATATTCAGGACGGTGATCCTAAATATTTTACCAGACGGCAGTGAAATATTGAAACGGACGTTGGTATGTGATTATCAGCTATGGCCAAATCGTAAAGAGAGATATAGCTGCTTCGTTTGCTATTTTTATGAGAGCTTAAAATCATCGTTGGCGAACTACTTAGTTCACAAGGGAATCCTCGAAGTCCAGCACTCGTGTAGCCGTGACGCAGTTCCAAGAGAGGACGAAGAATAGAACTGAACGAAAGGTTAGCTAGGTATTTAAACATGCTTATTAGGTGAAGTGAATCAAACAATTGAAAAAGACATGCACTCATCACTCTTCAAACTTCTAAATATTTACCGTATTTCCTCTGGGGTTGCGACGTCAATAACATTGCTTTGAATATCAAAGCTTCCACAGGGAGAATCAAAGCGAACTTTCGAATTGGATGTCATAGATATCGAGTGAGGGATAGGTCTAGCTGGTTGCAGCTCTTCTTCCTCTTCATCAGCGTTTTCTTCCAAAGAACTGAAGGGAAATGAGTCAATATAATAATTTTAGTTGTGAAATTACGCTAAAGATGGATGGAACTCCATAACAGCCACTGTCTCTGCTGTACTTGATGGAACTACAGGGGGCGAGAACTTGGCCATCATATCCGGAGATTCCACATCGTCATCTTCTTCACTGTCAGAAGAATCAGAAGCGCGAAGTGGCTCTTCCATCTAAAAATAATTGTTTATTATAACTTTGTCACTAGCTCAACCTCGTGATAAGCTCTCCACGGCTCTCTCCGCTTCTGTTCAATTGTTGGAAGGTACTGCATAATTTTGCGTTTGTCTCGCTCTCGTTCAGCTTCTTTTTTCTTTCCACCTCCAGCAAGTTCGAAAATCTTCTTTTTCTCTTCGGTTCTTTCCTGTGAGAGAAAATCTGTTTAATAATCAAACTGAAACGCTATCTTACGTGGACAAGTTGTTGTTGTAAGTCTGTGTTAGCTTCTCTTAACCCCCTAACTAAAGACACAAGGAAGTAAATGATTAACCTGGAAAAAAATTATTGCTCAGAGTAGGAGAAAGAGTTTTTACATGAGGAAGAGTAAAATAGGAATGACAACTCCAGGTGAAGCAACATGGCGAATATAGGATAGGATGGTATGGTCAACCCTTTTCTCTATTTCATTGGTGACAACGGTGTAAAAATGATCATGTCTTCTGAAAAGAAATAATGAGCTGACATTTCTCCTGATTTTGGTCTTACGCGAATGGTCCACAACTCCTAGATGGTTTTGTGGATGCAATTACGAATCCAACTGGTAGAGTACAGAGAAGAAGCCAAAGTAAAAGAATTAGAAGATAAAAGTTGCTGGATCTGAAAAAATAGATTTGAATGAAACTTTTATATAGACGTAGGAAACGGGTCAGTCAGGTAGAAGGGAGGGGGTGTTGAAAGCTTTACCTGAGGTATTTCGCTATTATTATTTCGAGACACATTATTTTAGAGAATGATTTTTAGAAACTAATGGGGTTAGAGATATGATCCTACAAATTGTGTGATATGTAAATGAGGGAGGAGGACTGAGGGTGAAACGTCAGCTGACACACGATAAAATTAACAATTCTATGCAGTGTCAAAGATTAAATGCAAGAGAGTTGCAATTTCTTACCTACTAGCACGAAATATCTCTCGAGCAGGAACATTGCAAGTCATGACAGCCCATCCTCGAATATACATTATGATTATTAGTTTTATGTTGTTTAGTGCTGGCAACATGGGAGCAAAGAATAGTCCTAACCAAATCATTCCCTAGATAATAAGATTGCAAATACTTAAACAAGTGTTTATGTTTTACCTGATTGTTTATGATGTGGAGAACATTTTCAGCAACTTTGAATTCACCATATTCGGGCTGAACGGGGAGATGTTATTTGAAATTAAATAATATTCTTACGAATGTGGTCTCAATATCCCAACACCACCACGATGCGCAATGTCTGATCCATAGACCACGGAAGAAATCAATAAGTAAAATAGATATGATAGTCACAATAAGGTCCATAGTTACAAGTTTTACAATTTCCTGAGAATAAATTTGTCTTATACTATTGAACACTGTATTACTTGGCCGATGATGGTTTCCCAGCAAATGTCTGCTCCATACGAATCATCAGATGTGCTCTTACGCTCAGCAGCATGAGGTAGTATGAGTGAGTTATCTGTAACATAACATTCACAATATAATATTATAATAAAACTAACTGTTAGCAGGAATTTCCTCTATATCTATCTGATCTCCCAAATGATCATCAACTCTGTTATTCATAGAAGCTGTAGGGTCAGGCTAAAACACTTGTCAGCATAATGTGTATCAAATTATAAATACCTTTGTTAACTCTGTACTTTCTTTGTTTTTTTGCCATGGTGGTTTTGTTCGAACTCTTGGAAGCGATGTTGATGGCTGTGTTGTTCTTGTATACTGGAAATCAGGACCTCCAAATTGCTGAAATGAGTAGGTAGATTAATTGCAAAAGTCATACAATTATGATTTTTGAAAGAACTGTTGCTTTGCATATATGCTAATGAGCGCGCGTCATCAACTGCTTCACGACGTCTAATCATTTTTTGATTGTTTTCGCGAAATGCGGTTGTTATCTTTGGTATTTAACTCATTTTCCCAATAAATTAAACTTTTACAGTTTTGTACCTAGGAACTCCATTTCTCTTACAAAAAGTATAATGAAAAATATAAAAAGGTACTTTGATCAATTAGCTTTGTATTTACCTGCTCGACATCTCCTTTAGAATGCGGTGGAAACTTTCGGGGAGGCGGCGTATAAATGGGAAGAGGCTCAGGACCAATTCTACGACTTTCGAAACTTCGATCAAACGTTCCATTACGAAGCAGAGCATTGGGATTGTTGACGGACAGAGGACCATATTGAGGTGCGACCTTTATAATATATGAACTGTGTGAGGGGAAATATATTTGACATGACTTACTGTGAAAGCTGTTGTGGGGGCTGATCGTGTTGTTCGATTTACTTCGAAGTTTTGTCTTGCAATATCCATGAAGCGAAGCATTTGAGATCGGTTTTCAAAAGTTCGGCTAGCAAATGGAGGAGGTCGGGCTATATTCTATTATATTCTGTTGATGTTTTGAACTGCTGAATCAGAAAGCCTACGGGATTTCTTGAGCCCATCTGTCGTTTGTAACGAAACAAACTGGCTGTTGGTTCTTTACGGATGGCATCCATTTTGTCGAAAAGGGCAACAATCAGAGTCATATAATTTAAAACATACAGCACCAAAACTCTGAAAATGGTTTTATTTGAACAGTTATTGTCTCTGAGATACCTTGTCAAATGAGCTCTGAGAGCTGTTCTAGGATGATAGTTCTCAATACGACCAATCAAATCAAAAATCATAGGAAAGACGTGAGTGATAGTGGAAACGACAGAAGGGACCTTAATTGAAATAGTTTCTTCAACATATAGCTCTAGTTATACCTGATTTTTTGTGAATAAGTTTCCCTCCTGTTCTACAGCTGTTTGAGATTTTTGAACAGCAAATGATATACAGTATATGGAGAAAGCTAACATTCCGCAAATTATAATATTCGCAAATACTCGCAAGGAAAACTTCAAACAGCTGAACTTAGCTGTTGTGGATACGCGACAATCTGCTACAGATTCCTGCAAGAAAGAGATAGCTAGCTCTAAGTTCGTTAGGTTGAACTAACCCTGAGCTTGATAACTATAGCCATAACAGTATTCGATGCTGTTTCAGAATTTCCGATTGAATAATCCCATCCTGTGAAAAGTCTCCAATTGAAAATATACTGTTCAGCTCTACTGCCGGATAGCTTAGACATTCTAGCATTACCAGCCATTCTGAAGAATGCATATGTGAGATTATAAGTTAATTAATACTTACTTTCTCAAAATAGCAAAAAAACTATAAGCGAATATGAATAACGTTACTATAAAATATGCTAATGGTAAGGCGTAGCGAACTTTTTCGCCAAGAAAAGCATCATCTGAGTAATAGCCGTAAAACAAGGGAGAATATCGAAGATAACCCTATGGATAGTCTATCATTATTTCGTTATGATTAGTATTCTTACATCATAATGCCAAACAACTGCTAGTTTATCAGCATGAACACGCTCATATTCAGGAATGACTTTCCTTGTACCCGTTCGGTTCTGTCGACCAAGATCGGCTGCTGCATCAGCCAGAATCTGCAATATGGTCTCATTCGAAGAATTCATCAGGAATGATGGTCTCACCTCTGGCAGAACGATAAAAGCAAAAATAATCAAAGTAATAATAACATTAACAAAGACAATCCAACGAAGAAAAGTGAAATATGATGAGACGACGGAACCAAAATGACCTTAAATGGAAATAATGTGTTCAAGAATAGAGCTTCAGGACTTACTTTCAATCTTTTTGATTTTACCTTCCCAGGGTATTAAATAAGTTTTGAAGTTCGAAAAACTACGTTTAAGCAGTCTTAAACGTTTCTTCATCTCTTCCATATACAGATGGCTTTTCGAAACTTTCGACTCATTCTGCTCCAGATACTTTTGAGCCAATCTGTTAATGAGAAGATGATGATGAAATGTAAATCTTTGTCATACTTCAACGTTCTCCGTTTTCGGTTCATACTCCATGCTTGGCAACGCAATTTACCTATAACTTCCTTTTTCTGTCTTATCCGTTCCAGCAAAGCCTGCAATAAGACGCTTTGCATACTGTAAAGAGAGAGTTGACAAACTTGTCTGGTGAGGGGTTTTCCATCGTCATCGGTCTCATTCTCTTTTGCATCAGATTTCCCAAGAAAGACATCTGTTTCACTGAAAAATGAAGTGTCTTTTTGTTGTCCAGAAAAATTATTTATATGTTTTCGAGCATCGTATCATCTCAGCTTTACCTTTGAGGTGACAGTGCTCTTCCATGAAACTTTTGAATGTTATTATGTATATTTGGTCTGCTTGCTCGTGTGTTCTTACGAAAAACCGTGATGAGATCATGAAAGACAGATGCCCTTCGCTGTACAGCTGGAAGACTAGCTAGGCCAGGAGGCAAAATCTCGATGGGATCCATTGTGAGCTATCAGTACTAATACGACTAATGTTTTTGTTTTTATAACTAAAACATTTCGTTTGGGCAAAATGTCGATCCCTACAGTTAGATTCATTAGCTTCATTAGACGAAATGAATAATCAAAGACTTTAAAAGGAGTATATGATTTTGGATGAAAATATTTTTTCTTAATCGATTGGATGTCCGTGAAACATAAAAAATGATTACAAGAAATGTCAGCTGTCCCTATGGGATAACTTTTCATCATTGAACTAAAGGAAAGACAACTCATGAATGGATGGAAGGCTGAAGAAAAAAAACTATTAAACCACAAATTGATCATTAATCTTGTAACGTTTTCACAAGCGAGTTGTTTTTGTCAAAAGTCGAAGGTGCGCTTGTCGCGAGAAATTGAAAAAAAGTGGTGAATATGATAGAAGCTTGACATCTTTTTTTATTGTTTTGCGAGGGTGGGAGATATATATTGGTTTCTAATGAGCGACCTGTGAGAGGCAGAACCTCCAAGGTGAGCAGCTTAAGTTTTGATGAAGGATGAAGCACATGTCCATTAGTTAAAATCTTGAATGAGACAGAGAAAAAGATGTCTCTCATTAAGTAGATTAAGTGATGTCACGAACGATTGTAGGAACAGACAAGAGATAAGAGATTTGTGGTGATTTAATAGAAAAAAAGGAATGGCAATGGGTTCGGAACTATGAAAGCTGAATGGATAAACCGCCATCGCAACAGCAGTGAAAAGGCAACCAACAACTCTTTCCTCCTCCTCTTGCTCAGCTCTATGTTCCATCATTTTTATGAGGAGTCGAAGAAGCTTAAACAACAACTTGCAAGCTTCATCTTCGTCATCGAGCTATGTAGCCCACACAAATATTGGTCACAGCATGGCCAGTTCTGGCCATAGTTTCAATGGATGATAAGCAAGAGATGACGGTTCAAAATAGAAGTATAGGGAGGATAGAGAAACTCAAAATGCTTTTTTTGTTTGAATAAGCTTGTAAATAAGTTGGACATGTTAAAAAAGCTATGAATGTTCACAATTATTATCTATTGGGTGAGGCAAATTGCTTGTGCTAAGCTGATGCTGCTCATCATGTATATCGTCCTAGTTTACAACTTTGATCATTTTCATTTTTAAAATGAAAATGAAAGCATTAGTCAATGCTGCATCTTCTCGATAGCCAACAAAAATGATATGTTATTTGAATATTTTTTATTGTCAAAAGTTTGTTTGGTGTTCAAAATATTTGGAGGGTGAGATAGACAAAGGATGAATATATGTAGCCCCCATGGGTAATGAATAAAGCTTTTAACCAATGTGGATGTTGCATCCTTTCCATATATCAGTTTGGCATTTCGAACAGGAATTTGTCAAATAGGATGAAAGGGACAAAAAAAATGAATATTAAACGAAAGATATGTGATGTAAGAAGAAGGTAAAATGGAATATTATGCCGAATAATCACTTGAAGATTCTTTTTGATTGAAAAAGTGTAAAACTATGATCAGCTGTTAAAGAATAGAAAGAAATTTAATTTTCAAAAGATAAAAGATGATAAAGAAAATTTATGGCAAGTGTCATGTGCTGTCTCATCTCATCTTTTTTGTTCTTTTAAGCTTCTCTATGTTTTTTTTGGCATGTTTGCATACATGAGAAGATATGGAAGAAACGAAAAAACGTTTCGTCCACATAATGTCCTCGCAATAGCCCTGTCGGCAATCTTTGTCTTCGAGATAATTACCGATAATTTTCAAGTTGAAATGCAAGCTCACCCTCACCCCTCATCTTCATCGATGTTTCTATTTAGAAAAAGAGTTTGAAGAGAGAAAAAAAAGTTATTTCTTATCTTTGAATTCATTCAATGTAATTACCATTTCTTCATTGAATGAAGCCAATTCGGAAATTGCAAAAGCCATCTTTCAATGAGTTTTAATTATACTTCTAACGCTATCCTAAGTTTTAATAGATTTTCTACGTTGTAGGGCCTTGTACTATTTTAAACAAACAGTTGAGCTTTGATCGTACGAAGATAAAAAGCTTATATGATGATTAAGAGAGTATGAACGAAATAGACAAACCTTCCAAACAGCGAAGAAAGAGCTGCGAAATCGAGCGACTGTAGAGATTTCATGAATATTTTTTGGTGACATTGGCAATGCCAATGATATGGTTTAAGCTAGTGTAGTGAATGGACTGAGGTCCCGTCGGATTAGAAAAGCCCATAGAGAGCATCTGCTTTAACTTATGAGCCTCTTATGCACATGAAACAAGATCTAGTGGAGATATGAATGTTGCGCGTTCATAAAAAAGTCGAAAATTATGTGAAAATTGGCCAATTTCAACAAAAAGGTTGCCAGTCAGGTATTTCATACGTTAACTCATAAAATCTTTTAAGCATGAAGGAAGTAAACGAAATAAAGTAATTGAACTATGTTTTTATTGTCGTAGCAATCGTGTAAAGTTACCTTTTAAGGGAAAAGCCTTGCTTTTTCCGTTCTTTTCTTCAATCTCTCTCTCTCTCTCTCTTCCAATCCCTCCTTCTCCTTTTTTATAAATATATATATGAAAAGGAATAACTATTGAACTTCAATTAGTTTAATGGATGCTGTGAAGAAAAGAATAATCCCTTAGGGAATTGACGAATACAATGTGTTAATCATTCCTTATTTTTCTTTTTTTTCCTTATTTCACAGGAACATAGTTAGCATAGTTTTCGGTAAAATATGTGAAAGAGTTTAATTTCTTGTTCAGAATATATGAATGAACAAGGAAAAAAAACATTGAGAAACAGATGTGAACGTACCCGAAAGCATAAAGAATGTCAAATAATTCGTCATCGAGTGTCAGTTTAGAAGAAGCTCGATCTCCCAATGAATCATGTTTACTTGTTTCTCTGAAAAGTGCAAAATATTTTTTGATTTAAACTTATCAATTGATATTATAAATTTAGTTCCTCAAAGGAAGATCACATTTTTCATTTTTGCAAATCAAAATGGAAATATGGCACAATCAAATGCAAAACATCTCACGAAATGATCATAGAAAGAATGCTATTGTTTTCTTTTTACTAATGATTAGAATATTGATAACAACATACCGTTCCTCAATGGGATTTGAAGAATTTCGGACGGAGTGTCTTCTGGCGGATCCCATGGCTGTGGGAGCTAGAGTAGGCGTAACGGCACAAGCCAAACGAGAGACCACCCCTCGTCCGCCCATCTACAATTTCAGAAGTCAATTGGAAGTAAATTCTTTTTTTTTCCTGTGTTAACAGAAATGGAGGTATTCATTTATAAGAACGAAGTTATTCTGTCTCTCATCTTATCTATTTTCAAGAATCGTGATTTAAAGAGTAATGACAGGGTTCTACGAACTGAACAAGTCATTCGAAAGCCTTATTTTGGTTTATAGAATGAAGAAGAAATATTTTTTCATTTTTATTCAGTTATGTATACTTTTTAGAGATTTTCCTGTAAATATTATGAGACAATTAAGTTGTATGAAGAGACTAACCCTTCTTTGAGTAAACAAGAGATGCATTTAATTTCCATAAACTGTGCTCAAATGACAAATGTTGCTCCAACTAATCATTCACATAGTAGCATGTTTATCATTTCATACAGTTAACTCGTATGGAACGGTTGCATTCATTCACTCTGACTATCGGATATGCGAGTACCTATGGATTGATCTCAAAAAAGAGTACAAAGTAAGTTTAAACATTATCCTCCAGAGATATGTTTTCAACACGTGAACAATAGCGTGTATGAGACTGATGAACGATGTGCCAACCGGGAATTGCATCTTTTACTAGAACTTGACGATTTGCTCAAAAATTGGCCATGTAGAAGCTTTAAGATATATGACATGACGTTCCCGGTGTCTTCTTCTTGCATCTTTTGTTCGTCATTATTACAAAAAGAAAAAAAAAGAAAATTAGCAAGAAACCATCGAATACTTTTTATTCTTTTCAAATATTCATTGAAGTCGCACTTGATAAAGCATTCATTAAGCTTGCTTCATTGTGTTGCTTTGCCAGACGGAGAGAAGAGACATTTCGTTTTTTATTCATCTTCAATGACCCAAAATCTTTCTAACTGAGCTTTTCCTTATTCATAAATCTGATTTGCCATGCGCTGTCAGATCTTTAACCAAATTTTCAAAAGATGAGTAATGGGATTCACTCATTAAAAAGCACAAAAGAGCATTGATACTAAACTCCTCATGAATGAGCATAACACGGAAAGTTGAATTGCAATCGAGCTGAGATAGCAAAAAATCATTTTTTCTTTCCTTTTCAAGTGCATATGATGTTCAGAAGCATTCCTAATAAGGATAGATAATTGTGTTTTATGCTAATTTCATAGAGTTTATGCTAAAATTGGAAGAAAAAAAAATATTCGACGGTTGGCACAAAACAGAAACTCTCTTAAGCTGTATATTCAAATATCTTAATCACATGTTTTTTTAAGGAAAATTATGCTTCATCGTACATAATTATGATGTGATAATTAGTTAACTATGTGGAATTCACAAAGATATGATGAGATGTGTAGTTTCTCTTTTCTCTTTCTCTCTCTCCCTTATGATATCCAATTTCAGCGGAGATAACTTTTGCGCACTTTGTTTCATCTAATATATAACTACTATTAGCATAATTAAAAGGACAAGGATAGAGGGGTACAGCTTGGAAGCTAAGGATACACAGAGTAGATAGTAATCGTTTACTCTTACAACTTGTAATTTCTCAAACAGAATTTCATAATCTTGATTTTTGTCATCTTAAGTTAAACGGAAATTGGTGCAAGCTGGTAGTCAATCAAGCATGACAAGTTGTTTGCTCGAAAAATTCAAACAGGTGTCAAAGCATTAGGTCATTCCCTAGCCCTCATATAAGGTATTTCCATGTTCAGCCACTTGCTCTTTCCAATTTCTCTCTTTCTCTCCTTCTTTTACTCTCTCACTCTTTTCCTCTCTCTCTCATCCTCTTTGTACATGAAAGGAAATGAGGTTTGGTGAGAAATGGAAAGATCAAATAAGATCAAACGATTGACATTGATGTAAAATTAAAAATAATAAAAGTAAAATGTAATAAATCGACTAAAATTGAACGTAGTGGACATTGTTTGGCTTGAAGTTCAAAGAAAATCTGAGAATCACTTCTCTTCCTTCTTTCTATCCCTCAGAGTGAACTCTCTATGTGAATAAATGCTTCTCTCATTTCTCTATTTCATAAAGTCTTCATTTTCTTTAGTCTTAAAGCATCTTCTTCTCGTATGATCTGTCTTAAAGGTAGATTTTAGACATGCTGATGGTCTAGGAAACATTTGAAAGAAGACGGGAGAAGGATGACATGACAAAGAGAGCAAAATAGAGCAGTTGACAGGTGAAGAAGGTGAAGAGTTTGAATGATCTATATGCCACAAAGCAATTATATTTAAAGCTTTATGTATACATTTCAAGCATTTATTCATAATTTTTTAAAATATTTTTTTCTCATTCAATTTGTTCAAAAAGTCTAAAAGTGAGTCGTCAGAGGAAAAAATGTTGGACATGTTGCTGAAAATGGAAAATAAATGTGAAATGAGAACTGAACGAAACGTAACGTTATGAAAGACATCCGGTTGAAAGTTTCCATTTGGTCGAGCATAAGATGTACTTGAAGCAAGAAATCTTTTGCTTAATAGACTTTTACGAATAAAATGTTTCTTTATGGATGTTAATGAAAATGGTTTGGACGAGAAGACTCAAGACTTACCTCATAAACACGGATGGAAACATTCATAGTTCAGTGCTGCGTATGAACAATAGAAACTTGGCTCCTTAAGAAGAGAAAATCTGTGTATGTGTGGGTTGAATATTGAATTGACCATGATTGAATTTTCCTTTTTCCAAACTCAAACAATATCATCGAAATAAACATTTATTTAGTTTTTCTCTTATGTTTTAAATAGAAAGCAAATCATCTAACAATATCATTGCTTGCAACTTAGGCTGGGCAAGGTGGTCTGGTCTCAATCATATGCTTAATGGGTTGCAAACTGTGAACGCGAGAGATTAGCTGTTGAATATTGGGATAGCAATCGAGAGCATCCTTGAGTCCGAAATCAACAAACTTTGAGAAGGTTTCAGCAGCAAACACATCAACCCAAGTTTCCTTTAATTATTATAATTACGGTTTTTTGTGTGAAGCTTCAGAACTCACATTATCTCCGATCAAAACTCCGTTACCACCATTCTCAACCAAGAACTTCTCAATGATAGGAGCAAATTGATTGAGCTCTGGAAGAACTTTGTTCTTGAAGTAATCGTGCTGCAATCATTTTTTTATTTATTGTATTTGCTTTATATAAAACTTTGTCTTCATGCTCGAAGCCTGGGAAGCCGAGCAAGACTCTAGGATAGTTGCTAGTGAATGGAGCGTTGATCAAGTCCTGAACAACCTCAGCCATCATATCCAGACGAGCGCATTCGACGGCATTCTTTCCAGCTCTGTCTTCAAAAATATTTTTTATTTTTTTGTTAATGAAGTGCAACACTCACGGAATTGATGACCGAGGAATCTAAGAATGGTGACAGATTGAGCAATCTTCACACCATCAACTTCCAATACTGGAATTTGTCCCAAAGGCATGGCTATAAAAGGAAATTTGTTTCTTCTCTTCCTTCATTGCAAATCTATATTCAACTTCGTTTTCTTTTCAGTTTTCATTCTACAAGAATTATATTTGAACTGAAGAATGACGTGTGAATTTCTTTGTCATCATACGTTTCTTACGAATTTGATGATAAATTGTTATCTGTTGCGTGCATATATTGATAAAGATGTGTTTCTTGCGCTATTCTGTGATTTTTAGTAACAGTGTGTAGAAACGTTAAGCTAAACCAAAACTTACAGCCTTTGAAGCTTGGCCACTCTTCGAGTGCAATCACTCTGTTTTCCCATTTCTTGCCTGAAAGGGCCAACAAGTGACGAATAGCCTCTCCACGTCCTCTGGCTGGGAAATAATAGAAAGTGTATTGAACCATTTTGTCTGAATATGCTTAAATTAATAATAAAAAATATATATAAATTTGTTAAAGAGTTCAATATAATAACAAATGGTTAGAATAATCAACCGGTCAGCCTAAGTGAAAGAAGGGAAAGTGAGAGGTTGGAATGACAGTCCTCCCTCGAATGTTCTATCTATATCACTCTCTTCACCAACAGGTCTTTTATTCTCTCTCTTTTTTGTATCAATCCATGACTGATAACAAACAAGAGAAGAAGAAAGAGCGTATGAGAGAGAGTAAAGAGGCAGAGAGCAAAGGTTTAGAACGGTGAAGATTACAAATATTTTGTAGTTTCTGAGCAGAATATGAATTAAAATTATTTAAACACTAACTCAAACAGTGCTTTGTATTCAAATGACAACGAGTTATTGAATCGATTATAGAGATTCATTTGAATTTTCAATCAGAAAAAAAAACAAAAAGGAAGAATAGAAGACTGTGATTGGATATAAATGAACTTTCATACTACAAATGAATATTATTTTCGCTCTTCTGATTATTTATCTTTTGGAATCGATCAGGTTCCTCTTCATCATCTCATCATCAACAACATCATCACCGTCATTATCGTAATTAAGCCATGGAAAGTTTATTTTCATGAAGTTCTCATTCACTATGTCATAAGAGATGAAAAAAATTATTTATTAGTATCGGCTGTCACGCACGGTAATTAGGACGTTGATGTCCAGATGCGTAGAGATCACAAAAAATTAAAGAAAAAAATATTTTTCTAGGCAGTTGTATTCTGTTGTTGGATGAGATTCAGTTGCAGTTTTAATGAAGCCTCCATCACCTGTAAAATGTGAAATTTTTTTGTTTTTTCAATAAAAATAGAAAAAAAAAGAATTGCCTGATCGTGGTCAAAGCCTTTCAGTTGGAACTCGTCATTGGAATGAGGTAATGAGGAACATTTGTTTCCGCAGCAATCGACACCAACCTTGTTTTCGAAAATCATTCAAAATTTTTTTTTGTAAAAAGATTACCTTGTCATCAGAATCACTATAGATGGAATAGGAAAACCTGCCTTCATATCGTGATGTTTGGTTATTGATTTCTTGCTAGATTTTTTGTTTTGTTTTTTCAAAGAAAATGATATCTGAACTCACCAGAAATTTGGATTTACAATGTAATCCATTGCGCTTCGAGCAAACCCAGAATGGTACGAAACACAAAGATGAGCCATAATTCGCTCCTGCAACACTCACGAATGTTTCAACCTGTTTGTAGTTTGTTTTTGGCCGGATACCATCTATATATGGCAAACCATGTGAGTTAGAGGTTTTCCTATGAAATCATCTTCGCACAGTCCACCTAAAATAGCCTTTCTTGTGATAGGGGAACCCATAGAAAAGGCCAAAATATCAATTTTGGACTGCGTATAAACATAAACCGCCTGGATCATTGCTCTTATCTGAAAAATTTTTTTTTGTTTTTTGTTGAAAAACAAAAACATTATTCACTTGGCGAACGTATTGACACTGTAGTTTTACAAATATGGTGAAAGCGCCAGTACCCTCTCCATAAGTCGTACCATAAATCTATAATTCATTTGATTCGATTCCAATAGATCAATTTCTGTACCTCAGCATTCGAGAAATGATTTTTCTTTAAATATTTTCGAACAAATTCAAAACGAGCTGCCGTGTTTGTAACTCCATGGACTATGAGTACAGGCTAAGTAACATCAATCATATGAAAGTTGGGAAAAAGGAAGGAAAACCTTTCTATTGATGATTTGTAATGAATTCATCTTGCCACCGAAACTTCCGCTTTTCCCAAAATCGAGACGTTCGAGTACTTTTCGACCAGGCTCGGTATACAAGTCAACTAAGAAATTATTGAAATCTGGAGTAAATTCCGAGATAACCGCATTCAACAGTTGCAAGTAGACGAATATCCCATATAAATACAGCATGATATTTCCTGAAAAAAAATAATTCAGAACACTGAACGTTAGAATAGTGAGAAAGAAGAAGGAGAAGAAACGAAATATCAGAGATAATAGAAGTTCTCTAAGATTAAATAGGAGAGAGTAAGTGGTTTAGAAGAAAAAAAGATGAAAGTCAGCTGTATCCTTCAACTGGTATAAACATCTGTCTCTCCATATTTCTTCCTTTGTAACCGGATTGACAATCACAAAGACCTTCATCATCCACATCATCTGAGCTTATAATTCGTTTACCTTGAAAACTGAATGATTGTATAGGACCTGTCTTTTCCTTTGAAGAGAGTTACAACAATCATGTTGCACACTTACGTTCTCTCCCGTTCAGCTTAAAGCTTTCCTCATAGTATATATTATAGTTGGGCACCAATTTATCGTTTTTCCTTTACTTGATGTTGGCTCATCAAAGGTCGCTTCCGTCTTCTTCAAAATTCAAGTTCAAATGAAATTGAGAATCGTCTTAGGTTTTCAGATGACATTGCTTCGGCCATTTCTTGCTTGATTTCATTAGACTCTTGTACCTCAAATATCTACTACAGTAATATTCAAAATTTCGTATTTGAGTACTCTCCAAGGACCATTACTGTATACGTTGATCCTGGCTTAGTTAATATTCATTTTTTATACATAAAACGAACAGAAAAATCACTTTTTTATTAAATTATTTTTATAATACAATAACAGTACAGGATGGCTTCGGACCTCTATGCGTTCTTCAGTTGGAAAGAAACTTATTATAAATAAAGTGTCACTTTCTTAATATACATTTCAACGTTGAACAAATAGTATATGAACCCTGTTCTATTTGAACTTGAAAAGCCTTTTCTACTTGTTTTATATATGAAAAAAGAGAATATACTTTTCATTCCAAGAAAAACTCTTTGAGTGTTCTTTGATCTATGCCATATAGGACCGTCGTACTAAAAATGTTCTTGACTGGTCAGAGAGATACAAATACATCTTGACCGTTTTTTTTTTTTGAGTTTCAAAAACTTTATCACTTTAGATAATGTTTCGATTGATCAAGCTTTTAACTCTACCGGTTTTGTGCAGTTTTTTTTCTATAGAGAAGGAGGTGGTCTCACAAATTCTGTGCATTGAAACATCTTTATCACCATCTTTAGGATAGTTTTCTCGCAAAGCTGAAAAGTCCATTCGAAATTTTGGAGGAAGAAACCCTGTATCATGGTGTTTGGGCAAACTTCACACGAATTCACTTCATTCGCAAAGGAACAGGAAGCCGCGGCGTAAATCACAAAATTTTTATTTTTTTTAATTTTTCTTTCATGAAGGCATGGGAGTTGATCGATGTATCACAATATGACAGTGATCGTGTCAATGGAATACAATTGATTCCAAGAATTGTAATCAAAGGTCAACGATATTTTGTTTTGAACTTACAGTATCGTATCCCGCTTAAAGCATGGACACTAGAGTTTCCTGGCGGTATGAAACTTCTACTAATTGAATGATAACACTCCTTTTTTCAGGAGCTGTAGAAACCGGTGAAACCAATTTACAAGGAGCTCTACGAGAACTCAAAGAAGAAACAGGCTATACAGCGACAGAAGCCAACTCTGTTTTCACGTCTGTCTCATTGTGTTACTTAATGACATTCCATTTTTTTTAGAACTGTTGGCAAACTAGCAACTCATCCGGGTAAAACCAACGATCTCATTCAAATAACAGTTATAGACATTGACTCTGAAATAGAGGAAAATCAACATGTTCTACAGAACTTGGACGAAGCCGAGGTAGTCGCTGATCACTGACTGTTACATTACTTCTGTTTTCAGGCTTCATATGTTCGATTAATACCAGAGCATGAACTTTTCGAGACCTTAGTCAGAATACAGTCACAAGTACATATCACTTCGAATGTGTTAACTTTCGCTCTGGGATACAAATTGGCATTAGAAGGAGTTGTTTGATTACTGTTAGCCTGAAATGGCTCTAAATCTACATTTTTATAATATAATTAATATAAACTACTCGATATGCTCTTCACATATAAAGTTTAATCATTTACATATCTTTTTGATTTGCGTCTACGGTACTTGTTGTTCCAAGCATGGACTCTCCTTCCTATATCTTTCTTCGAATACATTATGATGTTTATTATTGAGTTTTAAAAAATGGAGTTTGTACTGCTTATATTACAAGGTTTTACAAGATGTGCGTCCACATTTAGATTGCCAGTCTTCGATTACGTATTTCTTAACGGCATCCTCAAAGGCATTGAGTTCAATCCATCCAGCCGCGTCAGCTAACTGCGCAACGCTTGGGATCAGTTTTGCCTAAAAGAAAGAGTATGATGTTTATCAAATATATTTATCACTTGGTAGATAATATGATCACGAGGAACAGGATCGTGGTTATGAAGGCGGATTTTGGTTTGGGTTCCCCTTCTTAAATTATCACTTATTATTTGCAAGGAAGGATTACAAACTTGAGCTCGATTACAAAACCAGCCGAAGTTGGAAGTTCTGGTCTATCGTACCCCATGAGTTTCATCAGAGCCAGAGTAACTTCGGTATGCTAAGTATAATCATTTGAACACGCGAGAGCAGAGTTAGAAGTTACCGAAGCGAATCCTACAAGGTTGGGGCCAGAACCTTTTCCAGCGGTTCTTAGATGTTCAATAACTTTTTTCAACCAATACCCTCCCATCATGTTTCTACAAGGTTCATAATCAGCACACTTGATTTGATGGTTCTCAGCTAAAAGAATACAGTTGAATTGAAAAAGCACATTTGAAGTTGAGTACCAAATTCCATGATTTCTGCAACCAACTGCTTTTTTGTATATCCAGTCAGTGTTGGTTTTTCGATCCATGCGGGGTATGCTTTTGTTTTATAGAGGTCCTGCAGAATTGAATTTTTTGTTTTTATTTTTGCACCTACCATAAGAATGAAATTGTCAGCCAAATCGGCAGCGCTACTGATTGTGGCTTCCCAGCCAGTGTTGTTCTTTATGTAGTTCAAAATAACCTACAAAGGAGTTTGAGTTTGGTCGCAGATCCAAATCCTACCTTTTTCTTCTCTGTTAACTCTTTGAGATCTGGTAATGTGTCTTCACTGATGGGCTTCCAAGCTGCAATTTGAAGTTAAACAAGGCGAAATGAGCATGATATTACCTGCATCACTGGTTGGGCAGTCGGATACAGAGTACATTCGGAGCATTGGGTCATCAATAGTATAAGGAACTGGACTCCAATTGGTGTAGGACACGCTCCAATCAGCCCATTTAACTGGATTGTAAACACCAGTTAATACGGTCTGGAAAAAGTCCAAATCATATTTGAAAGCCTATTTTAGAACAACCTGAATGGTAGCTTGGCATCTGTTGGCTGAACTACTGTAAAACTTGGCTTGTTTCGGTAAGTAGTTATCATCAATCAGCTTTCCAACAAACTTTCTTATGCTTTTACCCAAAAGATGTGTCTCTGTTTTACCGAACTAAACCTTTGATGTCAAAAAAAAAGAGAGGAGATGAATAAACCTTTGTGAGCTCCAGTTCTCCTTCGTATCCCCAATCGGAGGTTTTTTTTGGTTCTCCGAGGAGGAACTTCTCGGGATTTCTGTTTCCATGTCTTGTACCGAACATGACAAAAGTTGTTTCAGCATCTACAAATAGATTACTAGGTCACTGTATTATTTTATTAAAATAACCTTTTGCGATAGACTTTGAAGGCACTTCGGAGGCTAGTGCGATGCCAACCAGGAGCAGAAACCAAACCATAATGAAGGCGCAGCGAGCTTACAGTCTTGAGGTTGTCTTGCCACTCAAACTTCAACTCTAAAGGCTTTTTATACTATTCGGTACGAACAGTTTGTTGTATTGTGAAAAACCTTCAAATGGCTAATTTATGATGCAAAGAAAAGACTTTCATTCAGAAATATTTCTATCCCTTCTTCCTTATTACTTTTTTTCTCCTTTTTTTCTTTCAACTACATACCTCTACAAAAGGTTTTGGTTTTTACCTTCCCCTCTCAAACTAAAGACGTTTTTCATTTATTTGTTCACAAATTGTTACAATTGAACCAAAAACCAACAACGTTTCTTCACTTTTGTAAGGAGAAAACTTGTCCCCTGTTGAACTGTTGTTTCTTCTTCCGCTTAGCCTCACAAGGTCATGGGCTTAACGATTTCGCTCACCGGCGTATATTGGTTGCTATGGAAACCTCCATAACGCCTCCTTCACAACCGTTTTTCACTTTCATTGAAAATGAAACTGCGTTTCTTATCATCCGTGTTACCACAACAGGTTTTCTACTTTTTTCAAATAACAATCATCAAATATCTTTTAAGGAAGGAGCTGCTCGGATAGAATCAATTTCTTGCGCTCCAAACGGTTTAAAAACGGCAATTGCGCAGTCCGATCGAACCATTGTTCTAATAGATGAGAATGGACAGCAAAAAGACAGATTTGCCACAAAGCCTATTGAATCAAAAGTAATATTGTGTAGAAGAATATCAAATTCAGTCTAATTCCTATTAAGTTCGGCAAAAAATCGTATTTTATTACTTCGGTCGCCTTCTCCCCTGATTCCTCATGTTTGGCAGTTGGCCAATCAGACAATGTTGTTTTCATTTATAAAATCGGATATACGTGGTAATATTGTGAAATACTAGATCTCTAATATAACTGAATATCAAGGAATGAAAAAAAGGTTATTGTGAATAAACTCAAACAATCATCAACGGTCACTTCGCTAATTTGGCCTTTCGAGGATAAAGTCATTGTGAGCAGCAAACAGAAGAGGATTTTTCAAGAAAATTAATTTAAGATTGGTTTGTTGGATGGAAAAGTTCGTTGTGGACTATTAAAGTCAAATAAGTGTTCCTCCTTATATAAAACATCGGAACCTGTCGTTTCCTTGGCATCCAAGTAATTCAATAGTTGTTGGACATTTTTATTTCATGTTTCAGTCCTCGGAAAACAGCTTTTCTCAGTGGTCATGCTGATGGGTCTATTTTAATTTTCAATTTCGCAAGCAAAAATCAGGTTTGAACTATAACTAAGAGAGCTGCATGAAGAGAGGCCAGAAAACAACCGTTCGATTGAAAAAAATATTTGAAATAGAATTGGCGCCCCTTCAGATTAGTTCGATTAGCGAGTTATGTTGATTTCAGTCAAAGATTTGTACTTTGCAAATTTCTCCTTTCTGTTTGGCATTCACTTCTCATGGCTTCCTTGTTGCCGGATCGGACCGAAGGATTTTATCCTATACAGGTATTTCTATTGCTTGACTCAGATTCTGATCATTTGTTAACAGAGAATGGAATTGTTCAACAACAGTTTGATTATTCTGATCAGGCGGAAAAGGAGTTCTCAGCGTTAATTACTGACCCAACAGGACAGAACGTAGCTGTCGCTAGTTATGACAGGTATTCCTAAATTCAAGAATTAGAAAATATTCTCATAAAACTATAGAATACGGTTGTTCTCTTGGTCGAGCCGTAGAGGAGCATGGGATGAAGGAGTACCTTTAGACATCAAAAATATTTATTCTGTCACTTCTCTAGCTTGGAAAGGCGATGGGTCAGCTGTCTATGCGGTAATCAAAGAATATTTGACGCTAATAAAAGAGTTTAAGGGAACCATATGCGGAGGAGTTATATCGATCGACTGTTGCTTAAGAAGAGGGATGCTCAAGAGTCGTTTCGAAACAACTTACGTTTCTCCTTCACATGTTATTGTTCGTGATATAACAACTGATTTCAAAACGAACGTTATATCAAACAGAGGGCTATCGATCGATGAGCTGAAGGTTGTTAAAGTATTTCTCTTTTTTAACAATTTTAGTATTAGATGATGGGCAAAGATAAGTTTGTTCATGCTACAACATCTTCTACCATCATACTTGCGGACACCTCTACAGGGAAGTCTTCCGAGCTCGAATGGCGTTCTGGTGGAAATGAAAAGTTAGACCCGTCTATTCATTTTCATCTTAACTGTTTCATATTAGATTCTATTTTGACTTTGAAAATGTTTGCATTCTGATAAATGCTGGTGAGATAACAGTAATCGAGTATGGAATAGATGGTGCAATTGGTTGGATCCGAACAGAGTTGACAAGCCCTCAACTGATGAGGTTGTTAACTGTTCTGTTCATTAACTCTTTTTTCTTTAGTATTCGAATTTCTTATCCCTCTAAAAACGGGCCTATCAAGAAAATTGCTTATTTGCCTGATCCGACAACTATATCTCTAGGTAATATGAAGAAAAAATACTGATCCAGCTATTATCTTAGTTAACTTTTTGAATGGACAGCAAGAAATGGCTTTGACCCATACAAGTGCGATTGACTGGCTTGAAGTAAGTCATAGAAGTTCTTTCCTGTAAAAATGTGTTTTCCAGTTAAACGAGGAGGCAAATTTACTCCTTTTTCGAGACAAACGATCCAGAGTAATTCTGGTTGACCTTGCAACAGAGCGACAAACAACACTCATATCTTTTTGTACATATGTTCAGTGGGTACCCATGAGTGATGTCATTGTTGCTCAATCAGGAGATACCCTTCATATATGGTAATCAGATTTCTCACCAAGTATCCTTATACTGAATGATTCACCATTTCAGGTATAATCCTGAGACTCCAGAGCAAATCACTAATGTTCAAATAGCTGGAGAAGTTGAAAACGTGATACGTGATGTGGATAAGACTGAAGTCATAGTTCAGGTATACAGCAGATTTCAATGTTCAAATACATTAATGCCTTCAGGAAGGAACTGCTAAAGTTTCTTATGAGCTGGACAATACACAAATAGAGTTTGGAAGTGCTTTAGATAAAAATGATTTCGAGAGAGCAATCACATACTTGGAAACACAGAGAAATGGGCTAGACACGTAAGTCTTCTGTAGTATATACAGCTCTATTCATACTTTTTTAAAGATATATGATGTGGCGAAGAGTTGGAGAGTTAGCTCTCAATCATCAGAGGCTATGCATTGCTCAGAGATGTTTTGCTGCCATCAATGATATTGCTTTAGTTAATATGCTTCATGTGGGAGTTGTTTTTTTCTTTCAAATATCATTATTTTCAGGAAACTGTGGATTACGCTGAGAAGGCTGCGCTAGAGCTTGGTGGAGATGGAACTCAATACTATAAAGTCCGAGCAAACTTAGCTTTGTTAAATAAAAATTTCAAACAAGCTGAAAAAGCATATCTGGAATCTGTAAGTCCCTCTACGTTATTCATCAGTTATGAAGGTTCAGAATGCTGTTGATGAAGCTGTACAAATGTATCAAACATTGCATAAATGGGACGATGCATTGGAGTTAGCCAAAGCGACGGTTTTTTTCATATTATAGGTTTGATAATATAAGCAAGCTTCAGCATTACTCGGGTTACGAGCAACTGAAAAGCACTTATCTCCGAGCTCTATATGATTCTGGTCAAGAAGGAAAAGCTGCTGACGTTTGTTGTTTCATGAAAACAGGTAGTAGTTTATGTTACAGCTCAAAGTATCTGAAGGGGACCATATGGGAGCAATACATTTATTCCTCAAAGCGAATCAACCGGCGAAGGCTTTGAATGTTGTAAACTCTCAACCACAGTTGGCTAAAGACGATCGCTTATTGGAAACTATTGCTGATGCTCTACTCAAGGGATTTGTTTATGATAAAGTATATTGACTACTATACTGAAACCTATATGTCCTCTTTCAGGCGGGAGATATTTTTGAAAAAATGAAAAACTTTGAGAAAGCTTTGGAGTGCTATCGGAAAGGTCATGCTTTTTCAAGAGCAGTGCAGGTTACTAAATGTGCAGAAGAGTTTCGAATGTTCATGTTTCAGTTGGCCAGAACTGCTTTCCCTGAGGAAGTTGTTGTTTTAGAGGAACAGTGGGGGGACCATTTAGTTTCTGAATCCCAACATGATGCTGCTATCAGCCATTATCTCGGTCAGTCCTTAATTGGCTCTTTGATTCAATACTAATATTATAGAAGCCAACAAGAGCTTAAAAGCTGTGGAAGCTGCGATGAATGCTCAAGAATGGAGTAAGGCTGTTCAGATTGTGGATGTCATTCAAGATGAGGCTACTAGCAAAACTTATTATGGTAAGATAGCTGAGTATTACGCTGGCATTGGAGATTTGGAGGTGATGAAGCCATATTTTACAAGGAATAATGAGAAGACTTCAGAGAGCCGAACGTCTGTTCATCGAAGCTGACTTACACAAACTAGCGATCGCTATGTATGTTCGCAACAACAAATGGGCTGAAGCTTACCGAGTTTGTTGCATGATATTTAAGAAAACTCACAAATATTCAGTTGTCCGAGGAGTTCTTAGGAAAAGAAGAAACAGCATCAATGTATATAAATACTTCCCAAGAATTAGAAGAGCAAGGACGGTATGCCGAAGCAGAACAGGTGATGGATTACTTCTTTTTTGACAAAACTTTTGGTTTAGCTCTATATCGCTATTGGAGCCTCTAGCAAAGCAATACAGATGTATCGTAAAGCGAACAGGCATGACGACATGATACGGCTTGTAGAGAAGTATCACAATGAGCATTTATTGGTGATTTTTAACTTTAGTTCTGTGCTACAACAAAAATTTTTCCAGGAAACGCACAAAAGACTGGGCATGGAGTTCGAGGAGAGTGGAGATATGAAAGCAGCTGAAGAAGAATATTTGAAAGCAGGAGATTGGAAGGTATCGTTAAATGGTAGAAAAGGAATTATTTAAGTTATCACCAGGCTGCAATCACAATGTATCGAGAGAACGAGATGTGGGCAGATGCGTACAGATTGGCCAAGAGCGATGGAGGAGAGCAGACGCAGAAACAAGTGAATATCCTTACTGATAATCCATATGACGAAAATTCAGATTGCTTTCCTGTGGGCTAAGAGCTTGGGTGGAGAAGCTGCTGTTAAGCTTCTGAATAAATTCGGAATGTTGTCTGATACCATCGATAATGCTTGCGAGAATGGGTGAGAACACAGATAGCTATATAGTTGATACCTGTGATTTTAGAGCCTTCGATTTTGCGTTTGACTTGGCTAAAATCGGAATGAAAGAGAGACTTCCAGATGTAAGTTTTTCTTCTTATAATTAAAAAGTATACTCTTCTAGGTTCACCTGAGAATGGCTATGTATCTGGAGGAGGAAGGAAAACTAGATGAAGCAGCAAGGCACTTCGTTGAAGCAGGAAAAGCAGATGAAGCTACTGCAATGTATATTCATGATGAAGATTGGGAAGCTGCCGAACGAATCGCTCAGTAATTGCACAACGAGTTAAATTTACGTTTTCAAAATTACAGGGAGCATGCACCTCAAGCTCTGAATAATGTATACCTCGGACAGGCACAGAAAGCATTGGATGAGGGTGATCACCCAAGAGCTGAGAGTTATTTTTTGCGCGCCAACCGTCCGGACCTCATTCTGAAGTGAGTGTACATTTGAATTCGGAAAATATATTTTTGTGACTTAGATAGTTAGAGTTAAGAGCATCGCAATAATACAGATCTAGATTTTCCTTCATCCCCATACCAGCGCGCCAATTCAAACGTTAATAAAGTTTGAGCTCGTGTATCTCACCTTCAAGACATTTTGGTGATTTGAGACCCAGATTTTCATTAATCTGTTCACCTCATACCCCTATGTACCAAGTTTGGTGTCATTTGGCCAGTTTTAATTTTTTGACTCGACTTCCTAGCAAATCTTATCTTGGCTCGAGGAAAGGATTTAGACCATGGCTGGACCAGCGCGCCAATTCAAACGTTAATAAAGTTTGAGCTCATTTATCTCACCTTCAAGAAATTTTGGTGATTTGAGACCCAGATTTTTATTAATCTGTTCACCTCATACCCCTATGTACCAAGTTTGGTGTCATTTGGCCAATTTTAATTTTTTGACTCGACTTTCTGGCAAATCTTATCTTGGCTCGAGGAAAGGGTTTAGACCATGGCTGGACCAGCGCGCCAATTCAAACGTTAATAAAGTTTGAGCTCATGTATCTCACCTTCAAGACATTTCGGTGATACGAGACCCAGATTTTCATCAATCTGCCTACCTCATACCCCCATTTACCAAGTTTGGTGTCATTTGGCCAAAATTTGTTTTTTGGCTCAAGTTATCGGCGAAACCACACCTTGTCCCTCACACCCAATCCAAACGTTAATAAAGGTTGTGCTCATGTAACTCGTGGATTGAAAAAGTGGATTGAAAAAATTTTTTTAATTGATTTCCTTTCAGTTACTTCAAAGATACTGCGTCATGGCCAGATGCTTTGCGAATCGCGAAAGAATATCTTCCTCATCAACTACCACATCTTCAAGTGACTTTTTAGGTGTTCTTGGAGGGGAACATTTTTTTTTTACCAGGAAGAATATGACAAAGCTGAACTACGTAGTGGTGCACGAGGAATCGATTCATATCTGGCTCAAGCAAAAGAATGGGAACAGCAGTCGGAATGGTCTAGAGCTGTACAGTCGTACCTCAGAGTTTGAGAACTATTCCGGGGATATTCATCTCCTGGATTTTTAGGTGTCACCTGACGCTACAAGCAATGAAGAAATACTCAAACAGAGTGCTCTCAAAGCAGCAGATCTCGCTATTAAATTCCTTATAGGAATGGACAACGATGTTTATCAATTTAATATCTTACTCATTTATATATATGTATTTGCAGCTATTCGGAGAGGTACTTCAAAGATTAGAAGATTTACAACTGTATGAGAAACAAGCGGAAGCTCTTCTCGTCATGGGAAACACGAAACAGTCTATACATGCTCTGTGCAAGGCCCAGTTGTGGTCAAAAGCCAAACAGGTAGTTTGGTTTCAAAAAACTAAAAGCAAATGCTCATCTTATAAGGTCGCAATGGAATATTTACCAGAAATGGTTCCGGAAATCGAAACAGCTTATAAAGAAAGTTTAAAAAATGAAGGACGGCTGGGTGAACTTATAGATGTTGATGTTATATCTGCTATCGACCTTATGATTGCGAATGGTCAATGGGAAAAAGCTTTGGATACAGCTAAGCAGCAAAACGTAAGTGAAACTAATACTTAAACGTTCAGATATATTTTTATAGCATCGCCCCTTGATCGATAAATATGTAGCTATGTATGCTGCAGAATTAATTCAGCAAGACGATATACCTAAGCTTTTGAAAGTGTTCGAGCGTTATGGCGCTTCCTCTAATTCGAGCAGTTTCAATTTGTATAAAATGCTATTTTCGCGGGTGAGTAGAAAGAATGTCATAAACTTTGATAATAAATGTACAGGCTGTGAATCTACCACCAAATTCGGAAATGGAATTCGCCGAGCTCATCGCTATACGAGACCTGTTCTTAAATCTGATAGAAACTATGAGAAAAGAAAAATCGGAATTTCATAATGTAAGATACAAGATTATTTTCATGCATAATAATCACTGATTTAAGGAATTCGAAAGATATTTATATGCTCTTAGTCTGATGAGCATGAGAATATCGATTAAGGTAAAATAAATCGTTCCAAATCGATTTGAACTTTGGGCATTCAGAATATGGAGTCAACAGAAGCTAAACGCCTGTATCTGAAGCAGTCTATAGCTCTGCTGAGATACACAGATCTGTTACCAGCCGATCGAGTTTTTTATGAAGCAGGAACAGCATCAAAGGTATAGAATATAACAAAAAAGGACACAATCAATCTTACCTGTGGAACAACCGGTCTCTTTGGGCGCTTGCTTAAAAATGAAATGACCCGATACATGACATGTCAGTAAAGTGAATTATATTTCAACTTTTTAGGATTTTGGTGGTGATTATGAAGCAGTTGCTTTCATTCTATTGAACCATTACCTTGATTTGGTGGATGCCATAGACGAAGGTATTACTTCAGATAGTATGGTATAACTAACTAGACAATTTAAAAGGGAATGTGGAGTTGGTAGACTATTCCATGTTCGAGAACACAGATATCCCAACTGAGGTTCCCCTCCCTGAGAAGCAATGGTTGAATGTATAGGAGTAGATAAGAAGATAGCTTTTGAATTAATGATTATAGTCTGTCGACCATGAAGAAGTGAAGGAATGGGTTCTTGCAACATCTGTAGATGATAATGGTCTTCGCGAACTACCTCTAGACAATCGTGGTTCTTTCGAAAGTTCTTTAGTGGATGACCAAGGCAGTTCTTTTCCTCAGTGTATAATATCAGGTAAGAACAGGTTATAATTGACAACTGATTTTTCTCGTTCTAGGTTACCCTGTTCTAACAGCTTCTGTTGACTTGGGACGATTAGCTGCCATTAAAGAGGAACTAAACCGATTTTTGGTTATGATAAAGACAAATCCGACAGATGATCTCATAAATGTCCAAGAGTTCTTGTCCAAATGGGCAGAAACACCTTTGACAATGGCAATTTGAAAATAAAGATAATTTTTATTGAGATCAGTAGCTAATAAGAAAGATCTTCAGCGCAAAAGCAACGAAATCCAACCGTGAATGGAAAGACAATTCCATTTACGTTGGCATCTAAGCTATTTAACATATTCTTTTCAAATCAGAACAGTTAGTTTAAAGCTTAAAGCAAATTGTTCTACCACAGGCTCTGGTGTCCAAAATCGCGAGTGTTTTTTCTGCCGAGTGGTGTATTTGGATCTACATTTTTTGGACCAGAAATTACTTCATTACTATGAATTATTCCAGACGCCGTGTCGCGTCTTGTTCCAGACGTAGATCGATAATTCTAAAACAGAAAGAATATGAAAATCCTTGGTGAAGTATACTGACTGGAGGAGGTTGAATGACATTATTCGTCTTGTCACTTCGAGCTCCGCGTTTGGGGAGATCATCTTCATCGTCTGGTTTAGTCACAGACTTTTTGTCTTCGAAAAACTGAGGAAAAACAACAAAGTTAGTCGATTGCCAAACTGTAAGTAAAGAGTAGACACAATAATAAGCCATAGGTTCTTACCTGGTTTATCAAGTTCGTAGAACTTCTCTAAGAATTGGAGGAAAGCTTCTGAAGGACGATCAATTGCTACTTTGTTCGCAGTTGCGTTTTCTTTCTAAAAATGTTATAATATTTGAAAACTCAGGATTTAACCTACTGTGAGCATGTACTCGAACAGTTCATGACCATTTCCTTTACGCTGTAGACTCTCATGAATGTAAAAATCAAGAATACAAAGAGGAAACTCTTCATACTGTTTCTTGCCTTCTACATCTAGCAGATAGAGCTTTTTGTGCCCAACTTTCAGGATACCCACGAGTACGCTCACATTTCCAAATAAGAACATGGAATTCTTTCAAAAATGCATTTCTTACTCTTTGCTCTCGTGTTTATTCCACATAAGGTAGAGATGTTGTTCTTCATCCTGATCCAAGACCTTTTGATAAGTTGTGAGGATTCTCTTCAAGCCTTGAGCCTAGAAAAGGATATCCAGTTTATATAAGAAAACGAAGTTTCAAGCTGAGAAGTATAAATATTCAATTGCTTTCCTAGATCTTTGTTTCAAAATGTTTTCATCACTTGAATGGTTGCGAAATAAAAAAAACTTTCTGTTTGTCGTCCTTTGGTTTCACTATGCAATGCCTTTAGCAGGAAATACTAGACAAGCATGAGCAACCGAAAGCCCCCAGATTGATTGGCCGGAGCCTTATTAACAGCAAATAGGAAACTTTACCAAAAAGGAGCAAAACTACTTGAATATGAATGGGGAAAAAGTGAGAAAAGTCAAGTTTTCAAAAAATTCTGATGTCTCTACAATTCCTTCCAAGCTGGGAAGGCACAAAGAGGCAAAGAAATAAATTACATTTCACAAAAAATATTGAAATTCGATGTGAAGAGAGACGACAAGCTCATTAAATTTGAATGACACATTTCTCTTGAAAACCATATTAGGAGAATTCATACCTCAGTTGACAATTCCCCCATGGTGTCTATAGCCTTCTGAACTGCCCAATATTTCCTTGGATGGAATCGTATTAGATGAGATCTGTCCAAGCATTGGATTGGAGTATCAGGAAAGATTGTGGAGAAATCAAAAGCTATTTCCATATCTGAAAGGATTCTTATAATCATTATATTGATATGAGTAGTTCGGAAAATGGGCAGAGAATCAAACAAAAGGAACATAATGAGTTTAGATACAACGAAACGTTTGGAGCATCTTTCAATTATTAAAAATCGATGAGTCAGGCGACCGTTCTATCAGCTCGGCTAATGAGAAATAAATAACAAAAAGAAGATTCTTCTATTATATGGGGTGAAGTAGAGCAACCATCTGGCACATGGCTAGTCAGTTAGCTCACCAAAAGAGGCGGAGGCCCCAATATCGATCTCGCTTGCAAGGTCGCCTAGTAATTGCCATCTTGCATTGGCCTCTTGGTTTTTGTTCCATCAGAATATAAAAAAGAGTATTAACTTATTTATTTTGCTACTACAACAAAAAGCTTCTTCATAAATCTCCTACTATCTAGGCCTATCTAAAATTGAATATAGATCTGAAAATTATTTTCAATAGTATTACACAATTGATAAAGAAACAAGAAACGGTAACAATAATTGGAACTAGATGAATAAAAAAATCAACAAAACTACTCTCAAGTCTAAATATTAAGGAGAACTTACTAAAAAACTATTTTGAATCATCAGCGACTAGACTCATTGTTTTCTGATACTCTCTAATATGGTTCTACCCTCGTGTTCTTCCACAACCTTCTTCATGCTGGTATGCCAGTCGCCTATTCTGCTTCCTGCGACAATTACCTCTTTGAATGCTTGGCATCCATAGAAAGAGTTCATTGCTCCATACAAGGACTGAAAAATCATTTTAAACGATTCAAGAATGCTTTGAGCGATTTTCGTGTACATAAAGCACTTAGAATATGGGAAACTATGAGTCTAGTCACGCTTTTCACGTGAAAAATCATTTATTTCATTCAAGACTGTTGAGCGGTTGAATTTGAATTGTAGGACACAAAATAGCTTACAATATGGAAACTTTTAAACTACATAGAAATCAACTCACTATATCAGCTAGGTTTGGACGATCTCCACCCATAAACTTGCGATTTGGACCGATAGCATCCATCCATGCATTACACGCATCCCGTAAAGCGGTACGTTCATCATCAATATTATGCCTAAAGCATATTTTACAACAGTTTTAAGGTTTGTACAAAGAAACTTCTTCTTCAGACGTTTGCTCAATGCCCACATAGCAGCAGCTCCTACATATACAGCGAGAATTCTTTCCCAATATGGGAAGTTGATTTCCCAGTTACCAACTTGTTCAAACCATTTGAAAGTACTCAAAGCTTCTTCCCAGGTTCCATAGACGTTAGGTGAGATCAGGTGGATGAAATGATCATCAACCCATTCCCTCCATTCTCTCTCTTCTCTAAGATAAAGTTTTTCTTTTCGAAAAACAAAAAAAAGTACTTAGCACTGGCCATATCCTTTTCAGAAGCAATTTTTTCTAACATAATAAAATACTTGTTGGGGTAATTTTTCGAAGGTTTTCCCTGAAAACAAACCCGGATTGATATCATTTAAGATGATATACCTTAGCATCGACGCTATCTACAGAAGGATACATGGCTTCAATTTCAGATAAGGAACGATCTTTCAGATGGAGATATGTACCCAACTAAACATGTAACTTTTGAACAAAAACTGACGTAACACTATCAAACCATTGATATGATAAGAGAAGAATCATACAGAGTTTCCTCATTGTTGCTTCTTATGATTGGAACCTAAATATAGGCAAATTGAAGAATAGATTTCATGATGTAAACCTTTTTGTACTGAGTACTGAATTTAATTTGAGATCTCGTAACAGGATTGACTTCTACAACCTCATGTGAGAATCCATAATAACTTAGGAAAGCTCTGACCTTGAAAACATAAGTAACAGATGGGAGTTATGTTAGAAATTCACCTTACAACAGAAAGGACAAGTCTCGTATTGATAAAGACGAAGATTCAATCCAGTTTTATCGAGGTGATTGACAACCTGAAGCGGTCAGAGGTAAAAGAGATATTAGACAGTGTTCACTTTTCTACTGAGCTGAACATCTCCTTTTTGCTGTTCAGGTCTATGAATAAGGATGGGGCAAGTTGGCGAATTTTCTTTCTGGGGAGTTGAAGCTGTTGTCAATCCGAAAAGACCCGCGACGGAAACAGCTCGTGTTGCCCTTGAGCCCCAAGACATCCTAAATCATGTTGAGATAAGAATGGATAAGATCGATGATAAGTATAGAAAAGCGGCAGAAAAAGAACTGTCAAACCAAGTTTAATATCGATCTTCAACAAAGTTTATATTCTAATAAACCATCTATCAACATAATAACGAACATATACAAAACAGCTGCGAGCTACAAATGGAAAGATACAATACTAAAATAGATAATCTCAAGTTATAAAAATGAAAAGTGTTAGTAGAGAAATGAAGCATAGCGTAGCAAATAAGAATAGATCCCAAAAGAAAGCCGATACAATGAGGGTAGGTATAAAAAAAAGAGCAACATGGATCTATCCTGAGCAAAAAGGCGTAGCGGGTATCAGTACGCCCGAGCCCATCAACAAAAACACGGAACTGTAAGTTCCGACCAACAACGAGATGTACATCTATACAGGCTAACAACAAACAGCTCTGAGGGAACAAATGCTAGCACAAGATAATCTGCTATGAGCAAGGTACAATGTGATAGGGGAGAAAGGAGGCAGCGAGGGAGGGAGGAACGAGTTGAACGTTCATGTACAATTACTTACATAACAATATAAACGAGGATTCAAGCCTATAACAGCGAGAGAAAGTTCCAAATGTACAAAGAAGTAAACGAAATTGTACAAAATACAAAAAAAACTAATCGGATATTAGGCACACCTCTAAAAGCTTAGAGCAAATGATGTTGTTGATGATGTTGATGCGGGATGATATTGGAGTGGGTTCCTATTTCATAAGGAATATTCGTAATGGTCTGATTGTTCATTACGCCGTTGGAAAGGTTACCGTTATGTTTTTGGAAATATTTCTCTAGTTTAGCTGAAAAAAAAATGTACGGAACAATTATGCGAACCATGAACTCACTGATAATATGTTTTCCATAGTTGTACTTCCGAAGCTGAGTGATGTGAGGCTTGATGGCGAACATCATTTTCTTTCTGTGGCCAGAATCAGCAACATCAAGCATTTTTTGTACAACATAATTCGCAAATTGATCTTTCATCATTACAAGCAGAGGAGGGTTTTGGCTGCAAAAGGCATGACATTAAACAAAAAGATTCAAATGTGAATAACTCACTCTCCAGATTGTCCACAAACTTCCCCAATCAGTTTGTTTTTATGACTAGGGTTCGCACAAGTCAAGCATTTCTCAATAACATTAGAGGCAAACTTGTGCTGGGCGAAATTCACAACGTCTTTAGCGATCTATAAAAGGACACATGTTTCTTTCAATTGCTCTTCCGACTTGCCTCATCTACTATTCTATCTTTATCTTCTTCACTACCATGTTCGACTACATGCTGAACTACATAATTTCCGTATTGGTCCATAACAAGTGCTCGCATCTTGGAATGCAAAGCTTCAAGTACAGGACGCTTTTGAGCTTCGGAGCAATGTTCAAGAACTCGTTGGATAACTCGACAGCCATACGGATGTGTTGATAACTGATAAACCTTGAACAGAACTTATGAAAAAACCGCTTAAATAGAAAAACAAACAGTGTCATTTCCCAAGAAAGCATCAATGATGAACTGAAGTTTTTCAGGTTTCACTTTTTCTATGACCTTCTGCACTACATGATTTCCATTCTGATCTTTAACACATTTCAGAACCTTAAACGGACGATTGAAAACTCTATAGAACGGTTCAAAAACTCACGTGACTTTCCATTTCTTTCAAGATTTCCATTTGAGCTTCTTCATCAATAGACTCTAAAGCTTTTTGGATGACTCTGCAACCATACATTTGAAGCGCCAAATTCATCACATTTCCACGAACAGCAGACGCTAGGTTTTTCTTCTGATCTTCAGTACCGAACTCGAAAAATTTCTACAAACAAACTTTCTTTGATGAAGAGCACGCAATACAAACCTGGATAACATAGTTTCCAAAAACGTCCGTCATCAGACTATGAGCGTGCTGTACAACCTCTTCGAAAACTAGTTGCTTATCTTTCACCGAAGCCCTCTCCAGCTTCTGTTGAATAAATCTAAAAAAGAAAACAGACGTGATACAAGCATTCGGATTTTCACTAACCTTGAACCATGCTGATCCTGTGCAAATTCCACAACATGCCCATCTAGATCGAACAGCTGAAGATTTGGACATCTATTATTCCTAAAGTCATCAAGAAGACTGCTTCGGGTAGTAGTTGATCTGTAAATGTCTATAGTTTGAGAGAAATTACCAAAAACACAAACCTATCATCTACTCCTCGTCGCCTATTATTATTATTATTGGCATTTCCGCTGTTGTTGGCGAAGTTTTGTGCTGGTGGTTGTGTTTGTGAAGAATAAATATTTTGAACTCTAGGGAAATTTTGATTCGGGAATCCGTAATTAGACACATTGTTGAAGCTGGATCCTGTAAAAAGAAACAAGTAAGAGTGTTTCAACAACTGATAACACAAATGACAACAAAGGTACAATAACATGCAGTCACACGAGAGCAAAATCCCATTTTCAAAGATTGTACATTCACGAAGTAACTACATACCAATGAAATTAGGACTGCTTCCTAAAGAACCTGCAGGTGTTGGCTGATTCATTGCCATATACATAAGCTGAGGCTGCACTCCTGTATATCCAGGATTGCTGTCTAAAAATGAAGGAAAACCTCAGAAAAATTTGCAAAGAGCAGTATGAATGATCAAAGAAAGTAATGGAGAAGAAGAAAAAAATAAATAGAAAACTCACTGTTCATCAAAGGTTGCTCAACACGATTATTCGGAGCAGCTCCCAGATTCATTCCCGTGAAAGTATTCGTTAAGCTCATCACGGGATTTGGCATATTATAGGGAGGTGACGAAGAGTAGAGAGGAGGTGGCGGCGGTCCTTCTCTGCCTGATATATACAATCATGTTCGATATAGAGAGCTTCAAACTTACTTAAATTACTGTTCATCACTCCAGAACCCATTGTTCCTCCATTGTGTACAGTATTCCACGATCCCAAATACCCGTACCCACTGGGTCCTGTTGGAGTAGACCCCAGAGGTAACGGTGGTCCTCCTATGACAGTTCCACCTTGCACAACATATGACCCATACTTAAAGGAGAGAAAATAGAATGCATTGCTTGATTTTAAAAACCTGGAAGTCTGGTGTTCCAGCTACATCGCCGTTACTGAATTGCATAGATGCCTGATTGAAATGAATAGGTTGGCCACCTGCTTCGGGCCGCCTAAATGCCACACATTATAAAAACGAAAAAAAAGTTGAACTCACATCTTGTTGTCTTCCATTCTCTGAGCATCTCTCTCGAGCTTCCCTGTAATCTATAATGAAGAAATAAATACAGTTCCACAGCTTGAGGACTAACATATTTCCCGTTCAAGGAAGCAGGGGAACCACCACAGAGTACATTATCAACCACCATTTGCAAAACCGTTCCTCCTTGACTCATGGAGTCAGAACGGGGTGATTGAGCTAAGTTATTACGGTTTCCACCCACATCAATTGGTTTACTAATTGCATGGTCTAAAACTTGAGAATGAACGAAGACGAAGAAAGTGCATCGCACCTGAACGATTTCCTGCCCAGCTAGGTTCTCTGTTGTACCATCCTTGTTCCGACATTGTTCAATGTTAATTACAGTTACAAAATTATATGTCTGAGTACTGTACAATGTTATTGCAAATTCCAATTATCTACAATCCAAACTTTAGATTAAGATACGGCACCGATTACACGTGAAGAACTATGATACAAATGTACAGATTCTGAAAAGTTTTAAATTGTATATCAGTAAGTAATCACTCACGAACAGTATGATAAGAAAATACACGAAAAAATAGATGACGTCAAAAAAATTGAAAGCTCGCCAGAAATTCAACAGTTGCACTTTCTCTACCTATCCTTGTCCTTGGAAACACATGACAAAGTTGATGCGCAGCTTAGTTCGCGCTGCGTTTGTGCCGCGGAGCGTTTGTTTCAGCTTCGTCCACGCTTACTAGGTGGTCCTTCTATCAGCTTTTGCTTCTTTGGGGAGCTTAAGCAATTGAAGAAAGAGCGAAAAAAAAAACTGATGAAAGTAAACGGGGGAGAAACTCATAAACACAAGATTTGTGTAGTACACGTATCCTAATTTGATTATAAGAAGAAAGTGATAGAAGAGATACACGTACACTAGGTTCAATTGTGTGATTTCTTAAGATGTAATAGGGCATAAAAGCCATATAAGGGTTGAGAAGGAATAAAAAATAATAATCCAGCGTAGAAAATAAGGTGAAGATGAGAATGAATTTTAATTGGGAAAATTTTGAAAAAGTAAAATTTCAAACCTGTTGGGTAAAAAATTAAAATCATTGAGAAAAAAATTGAAAAGAGAGATACGTAAGTTGACTGTTACCTAAATTTTTAAATTACGATACTTTTCGGATCGGAACAAATAATAGTTTGTACCTTGATTTAAAATCATCTTGAATAATCGTTGCTATGAATTTCAGTTATAGTGTCGTGATTTATAATACATCTTATTCAAAAATTAAAACTTAATAGTGAACCGAAAAGGTAGAGAAATAATAAAACTTAATTGAAATTAATTAAAAAAGTACAACATTCGATTAATTGAGCATTATCAGGAGAATACGGTAATTTGGGCGTCTTCACTCATTAGCATATTACACACGCGCGTGAACGAATCATATTTTTCAGACAAGACGTACAAAGAGTGGTTGCGTTTGAAAAAAGAGGGGAAATAAGGTATATTTTTGGGATCTATGCCGAAGTTTCAATTTAAAATGATTAAAGAAACTCATTGGAAGCATTGTTTAACTTTACAACGTGCCTAGCCTTTGTTGAGCATTAAACCCTCCGTGAATTGTACTGTGGTCTTTCGACACACATTCACTTCGATAAAGTTTTCGTAATGATCCATATGAAATGAGTTCACGACATGAAGTTCAATTAATAATAATGGAAAGTTGTACCAGTATACGCAATATAGCGACTCTGCGACTATCCAGCGGGAAGTTTTTCGAGCTAATGAAAGGCACCGGTTGATGATTATTTACTTTTTGTGAACTGAACGCTTAGCTCATTCGCAAGTGCTTAAAACTACCTTGATCAAAGGTTTGTACACTTGTCAGCTAATCGATGAGTAAAAGACATAGCTTAATAAACACTTAATAATTCACTCCAAAATCCATTTGTACATTTCTCTTCTCGTTTAAGGGTATTAATTTCAAAAAAAACGGCGCAGCCTACTTTCTACATTTCCCGCCTGCTACGTGTCGTTTCACGTTCAAAACAGGTAATGGAGAAGGCTTTCTAATTGATTAAAATTTCAAAAAAAGGATGAATGTGCTTACCTAGCATTGAAAATATGATTATTATTGAAAATAAACACATTTTTTTTATCAATTGTCATCTTGATCAAGATTTTCTCTTGTACGTTGCGGTTCTTTTACAGATATTCTTTTCAGATTTTCTGTGCAGGTAACACTTTGAGAATGACCAGTAACATCAGCATTAATCCCGCTGTGTATCCAGTACCTCGCAAAGATGCAACGATCGTTGATGACTTTCACGGAACTAAGGTTCATCAAACGAATGCTGATATGTTTAATTCAAGCTTTTCAAGGTTGCAGACCCATATCGTTATTTGGAAGATCCTGATGGCGAAGAGACTAAAGCTTTTGTTGATAAACTCAATGAAATCTCCAAGCCATTCTTGGATAATGCCGAAAGTCGACAAGTCATGCACGAAAAGTGAATATTATTTTTGAAATCAAGGAACTATCTCGTATTAGATTGTCTGAAATGTGGAACTACGAGAAGTTCGGATGCACAACCAAGAGAGGCAGCTTCTACTACTATCAGCACAATTCGGGACTTCAAAATCAATAGTATCACCTAAATAACAGATTTCTAGACAATGGTTGTTGTTATAGTGTGTTGTACCAACAGAAAAGTTTGAATGAAAAGGGCTCGGTTTTCTTAGACGTGAATGAGATTAACAAGGAGGGAACAACGTCGCTCAGGTTTCTCGTGTTATTCGAAACTACAAACGGATTTTTTTTTCAGAACATCTGCTTGGACTAAAGATGGATCTATCTATGCTTACGGCCTGAGTGAAAATGGTAGTGACTGGGTCACAGTTAAAGTAAGTCTGAATTGGCCACTGTGTGCTATCGTTTTTTCAGTTCAAGAAAGCTGATGGTACTGATCTAGATGATGTCATCACAGGAGTGAAGCATTCTGGACTCTCATGGACTGGGGACAAATCTGGTGTTTTCTACTGCAAATATCCAGAGCATGATGTGAATCATTACAAAGCCTTTGCATTCATCAAGTGCTTTTTAAGGATAAAATTGAAGGAACTTCCACTCTCAAACACGAATTCCATTCTCTTTTCTACCATAAACTAGGAACTGATTGTAAGGAAGACGTCCTTGTTTACGAAAGACGCGATGATCCTAACTTCATGATGTAAATTGGATTAACAAGCGAAAAACATGATAATTTTCTAGTGATGGAAGTGTGACCGATGACGGAAAATTCTTGATCATTGGAGTTTCTCGTGGATGCGATCCATATAATATGGTTTATTATTATGACTTACAAGCCGTTGAGAACAAGATTACTGAAAAAATCAACCCCGTTCCTCTGTTCGATCAGTTCGATGCTCGATACGATGTAAAATAGCTCACTGAGATCTCTCTTAGTTCAACATTTTACAGTACGTGGATCATGATGACAATACCATTCTTTTCCAAACGAACAAAGATGCTCCCATGTTTAAATTAGTCCGTGTTGATCTTCAAAACCTTAAAAACGTAGGAACAAGAGATTTCAGTTTGGATAATATTGTCTTCAGGTTACGGAGGTTGTTGCTGAGAAAAAAGAACATACTCTAAGCTGGGCTACTCCTCTGCCTGGAAATCGTCTCATGCTTTCTTATCTGGAAGACGTGAAGGTTCCGCACTTTTCCTTATTGTACTCATAATAATTAGTTATAGAGCACTTTGTATGTTCATGATTTGAATACAGGAGAGAAGCTTTATCAAATCCCGTTGCCAATAGGGTAAGTTGTTCTGGGTACTCATTTCTGTAGGGTGTCAAACTGTTTATAGAAGCATCTCTGGGTTTTACTCTAAAAAGGAAGAGAATGAAGTGTTCTATCAGTTCGAGTCTTTCGTTGTGCCAGGAATAACTTATCACATGAATTTTGAGAACGTCGACAAGAATGAAATTCCTAAAATTGAGGTAAACTTAAAACTATTCTAACGAATGGAAATTGATTTTTAGGTTTTGCGTAAAGTGGGCTTCCCCGGTTTGGATGAAAGTAAATTCAAAGTTGAACAAGTTTTTTACGAGAGCAAAGACAAAACGAAGGTTTTCATTTCAAACCTCTTGTTGTTATTACTGAAAATTAGGTTCCCATGTACATCGTCTCTACTAAGGATATGGTGAAGAATGGAGAAAATCCTGTGATACTCAACGGCTATGGAGGTAATCTTGAATAAGCTACATTAATTACAGACATGCTTACAATTTAGGATTCAATATCGCTGACTCTCCTTACTTCTCAGTCAGTCGGTTGCTCTTTATTCAACACTTCGGAGGTATCATTGCATGCGCTAATCTTCGTGGAGGAAGGTTTGCTGTTTTTTCAAGCAGTTAATCAGTCGAGATGTTTCAGCGAATATGGAGAAACCTGGCATTTCGCTGGAATGAGAGAAAACAAACAGAATGTTTTTGATGATATGCAACATGCCGCAATGTTCTTGATTGATAAGAAATACACGAATTCTTCAAAGTTAGCTTTGGCCTCTAATTTTCAAATATCGGGTTATCTAGACTTGCTATTCACGGAGGTTCCAATGGAGGTCTTCTCATGGGTGCATGTTCTCAGCAACGACCAGACTTATTTGGAGCAGTTATTAATAGAGTCGGGTATACTTGCTTGCTCTGTTTCCATTTAATCTTAACAGTTTTCTTTGAAGTGTTCTCGATATGCTTCGGTTCCACAAGTTCACTATTGGTGGCGCATGGGTGCCTGAGTTCGGAAATCCTGATGAAGCTAAAGATTTTGAATTCATTTACAAGTAACAAGTTCTGCTGAAATTATCTTTGATCATTATTACAGATATTCTCCCTTGCATAATATCAACTTCCCCGATGGCGGCCAATGGCCCAGCACTCTCCTTATGACTGCCGATCATGATGACCGTGTTGTTCCTAGTCATACACTCAAATATGCTGCAACACTATTAGAGAAGGTGGATCATCCGAAAACTTCTTCTGTTATCATTTCCATTAAGGCTAAGCAACATCCAGAACAAACTAACCCATTATTAGCTCGAATCGAAGTAAAAGCTGGTCATGGTTCTGGAAAGCCAACGGCCAAAGTTGTAAGTGAATTCCTCTGGTTAGAGAAATATGTAGCGGGTTTAGATTGAAGAATGTGTCGATATGTATTGCTTCCTCGAGAGAGTTCTTGGCTTGAAATGGCAACAGTGAATCAAATGAACGTTTCTCCTCCAACATTTGGAAGTTTTGTGCTGATGAATCAATAAACTATTTCTTTATCCATTCAGATTACCTTTTTTCTGATAAATTTTCAAACCCTGTTATTCCGAATAGACATGCTCAGTATTTAGTACGAAAAGTGACTAACCAACTTGAGAAAGGGTGTTTGATCTTCTCTTTGCACCTGCTACCAACCGCTCATGAAGTCTGCGAAAATAAAAATAAAAAACTGATTAGTGCACAGATAACCAATTAGCACAACACAGACAGTTCTTTCATCCTTATGAGTTCATGAACAGCTCAATTTTTAAAAATATCATATAAATTTGTCATTTTTCCTGAAGAATTCTTCCAATCCGCTGATATAATCAACAAGTCCCAAAAATTTTCAATCTCCACACATGGTTTTAAGCTCGGTTACTAAAAAATTCAGTTGTGATATTTTGCGAATATTAGAATTGAATTGAAAATAAGTGATCTCTGTTGCTAGAAAAAATTGTCATGAATTCTTCTTCGCTCCGTTACAGAGCTTAATGAACACTAGAAAATTTATCTGCTCTATATGCTCCGCTTCGGCAGACGGCGTTCACTATGGAGCACTTTCTTGTCGGTCCTGCAATGCTTTTTTCCGACGATCTGTTGTAGAAAACGTGGTTTGCTTTTTACCCTCACTGTACTTAATATAAAACCCTATTACAGGAATATCGTTGTAAGTATTTGAAGAAATGTGTGATTGATACAGAGGCTAGATGTTCATGCCGCTTTTGCCGTTTTCATAAATGCTTAGCGGCTGGAATGAAACCAGCAGGTACTTTTAGAATAATCTTTTCTAACGGTATGCCTGCTGTGTTAAGCTGTTCAACCAAGAAGGGATCCTACTGGTACACAGAAAAATCGTTTCAAGAAGAGTTTGGGCAGCCCTCTTGAAACTTTTCACAGTGGGAGGTTTTCTTTCTTTCCGTTATGTTCGAAAGATTTTAACTTCAGCTCTTCAAAGAGAAGTATATCTACTAATTTCAATATGGGAAGTGGTGCTCTATCTCTTCATTCATAATGATTTGCAGGAGGAAGATGATTGCTTTGATCAGAAATATATGTTTGAAAAATCGCGAGCGTCGTTAGAGCTACCGTCAGAGTCTGCTTTCTTTTCACCAATCAGAGTATATACACTACCTCTCCCATGTATATTTTGAGGTTGTTCTAGAGCTTGTTTCAAAGAAACTTAAACTATGAGGGTACATCCCATGTTGAAGATCATTTCGAGTTCATTTGTTCAGTTCGATTCTATAAGTTTATCCATGTGAAAAAAGCCTCTAATAATAATTTATTTAGCCAACATCTGAGAATGATGCAGCTAAGCTTTTCAACAATATCTTCTTTTTTGGATATGATGCAAAATGTGAGGTTCAGATAAAATTCATAACAAATATGTTTGTAGAAGGCTACGCTCAAAGAAATTAGTCCACTAGAGATGGAAAAGCTTCGTAATGTTGAATTGAATGGTGTCTTTTCTTGGCTTGACAGTATCACCGCTTATAAGCATTTGTCGTCGGCTGACCAGGTAGTTTTCAATCTTTAACGTTAATGAATGAATATGATCAGGAAAATCTACTGAAGAGATATTCCATAAGGAAAGTGAGCTTGGATCGTTTTTATATAGCTTCCCTCCATGTTTATGAGGTTGTTTATCTATTTGTTATTTATCGCAGTCAGATCTATTCGTTAAGCTGCAAAGAAAGAATTTCGTTTTGAACAATAACACATTCATTCCGCCAAATCGGACAGGCTTTGAAGTTGTAGAGGAAGATGAGAAACAAATCAAATTCAAAAATGAGTTTGTGAAATTTTGGAGAAAAACAATAACTCGCTCTAGAACATTCGCAGAAACAAATGCTAGGTCGTGGAAGAATGTTGTGCTACGGTTCACAGACTTGTCAATTAAAGATGCAGAGGTGGTTTATCTTCAGTATATGCTACTTTGGAGTGTTGCCAGTGAGATTCGGGACACAGAATATCACAATTGATTTTTTTTCGAAGATTATGCTTATGTCTCTGGTGACGCCAAGAAAATGATGAAAGATCAACGTAACCGAGTTATGAGCAACCTTTTCGAGTACTACTCTTTATCGAAAACTGAGGAACCTGAGGTTCGTTTTGCGGAAATAACGATGCTATTAGGAGAACTAGAGGTAGTCCAAAGTTGAGCTCTTTTAAGTTTCAATTCTTATTAGGAAGTGTTTGATATGCATTGCCTCGACATTCAAATTTTCGAAGTTTTCGGTCTAAGTGGACTTGGAAACACATGGTGTTACCTTTCATAATTCAGTGTTATTTTAAACTTTCAGGTATGTTGATGTTTGTCATTCACAACTCAACAACCCACGACTTGAATGGGATTTTAATATGATTGAGAACTTGAAGGATCTTAACTTTCGTAGTTTGGATACTATTTACTAATTTCATCATAATAATCATCTTCAGATATTCAAGAATGTGCTAAGAAATGGAAAATAAGCTGTTTGAATGAGTAGCCGATTTGGAAACGTCTTCCACTCCCTTTTATTCAAAATTTTATTCAACCCGGTCACATTATTAATTCGAATTTTACAGAATAGTCTCTCAAAAGTATGAGTCTTATCGAATCCTTTACAATTATTTTCTTGCTAGAATGATACGTAAAAGAAGTGACTTCAAAGTAAACAAAACCCATAAAATCTAATAAAAACCTTTGAAAGAAAAAAAATCTTGAGTTGAGATCTCAATGGGAAAACTACTGCTAATCTTGCTCTGCTATTTTCCAACGTTCCGTTGAACGTTTGAGAAGTTGAGCACATTCTTCATGTTTGAAATATACTGCGTCTTCGAATGGTGTGCGACCATATCTATCCAATGGTTCTGGAATAATTTGACTTGTTCCAAGTTATGTTGATTTTCAGCTTGCGAAATAGGCTCGAGATATTCCAGAATTTACCTGGTGACTCCTTCCATTTTGATAGAAGAAAGTCTAGACATTCGGCGTCTCCCTCACACGCAGCTACGTGAAGGCATGTTCTGTCGTCGTAGTCCCTGTCGTGAATGTTCATTCCCATCAACAAATATCTAAAAAAAATAATTGTACCGAGCTAGGAGAAATTTTAACCTTTTAATCGAAGAAATATCTCCTGACTTAGCTGCGAACATAAACTTCATTGTATTATCTTGATCTGTTTCCTGTACTGATTTGCGAGGATCGATTTTCTGACAGTCGGAATAGACCTAAGTGGATGTCAGTACAGACTAAGTGTAGAGAGAAACATACTAGGCTATCATAATTGTGGAAATTGAACTTCTGAATTAAGGCTTCTGCCAATTTGACACCTCTAACAGTATTTCCTAAATTGTCAAGCCTAGGAGAATAAATAGCGATTCCCATAACGTTCGGAATGACAATAATCATGTCTCCAGAAACTCCTGATTTAGCTGGCAAACCGATCTGAATTAATATAGTAGATATTTTGAACTTATAAATAAAAACCCTAAAAGCAAACTGTCCAGACCAATCGTACATGCCACATGAGTACATTAGTGAGAGAGTATCACGACATGCTCTGAAACATTAGGAGCATCGGAAAAGATAGGGAGATAAACCAACTTATTGTTTATTACACGTTCACCGTTCATGGGATTCACACCTCCATTGGCCATAGTGGCTGCCATGACTGCTAATGTATCACAGTTGGTTTCAATTGAACAGAGTTGGAAGTACAAATCAACAGTATCTTGTAAATTCGTACTAGGCGGAAAGCACTTGAATCGAGAATCATTTATCAATCTAATGACAAGCTAACCTTGTGTTCCCTCATGTAATAAGACAACGCATAGTTTCGATCAGCAGTTTCACGCTCAGAGAGGAAACTGAAACATTCCTGTTAATTCAATTAGTGATAATATTAAGCTTACACGGCATTATTGAAGCCTACATAGCCAACTCCACAGAAACGGCGAAACTGACGAATAGCCTATAAGGTTGAAGGTAAAATTTCCGTTTGTAACTTTAGTCTCACATAGTCGAATCGATCGGAAAGGGAAGCTTGTCGTTTAAGAAGAGATGCGGCAACTATTGCTCCAGCATTAATGAGTGGATTATGCGGCTTTTCTGAACAAGAAGAATAAAAATTTTAATTGTCTTTCTGATACTGTTATGATCAAGTGATATATCGTTGAAAAGTCGACCACTCGGTTCCTGCCCGATGTGCGAGTGCAACTCATCAGGACCAATTTCGTCATGCACCATAGCATAAGTGAAAGGTTTCGACACAGACTATAAGGTTCACAATTTAAAATATCAAATTTTCTACAAACCTGCAGACAGAAAGGTTTGAACGCATCTCCCCAGCTTCGTCGTTGCCCATCTATTGTACAGATTGAAACAGCCCACGAATTAGGATTAGCGCGAGCAAGTTGAGGTATGTAAGTTGCAACCTAATAAGTTAACTTGAATAAACTAACAATCCCACTAACATTTCTTACATTTCCCTGTGTAAATTGACGTGTCTCTTCGAAAATCTCATTGATTACCGATGTGAAGGATGGCCAATCAGGGATTACTAATTGATTTTTCAAAGCTTTTCCTATTACTCCAATGCTATTGCCAACACACCTACATGAGAAATAATGAGATTCCATATAAATAAAGAATTTGAATAAAATTAACTTTTTGAAAGTCTCTCTATCTAAATAGAAATGCTGATTATCAGTCAATGTTTGTTCGTCGATTGTCTCAGCTTCCTTGACCTGGAAATATTCATTTTCAAAATTTAAAGCATAACCAAATATGTTGGAAGTTTTGAATAAAATACGAAAGCAAACAAACCTGTTTGATCATCTGCTCTAGACGAGGATCATCCTTTCGAATTCCAGCCTCAACAAGCTCCTAAATATGTTAATTTTAACGAACTTTTGACAATAATATTCGTATTAATTTCATGCGAACTTCAGATTTCCTAAAATGTTAATAAACACAGAAAAAACTGCTCTTCAGTTGTAAAACAAGCTTTCATTGCGTTTCTTTTTTATTCTTCTTCTTCAAGTACGTTGTTCTAATATCTAAACCCATCTTAGCTGCCATTTCATCAATAGTTTTCTCTATCTCTCTTTTCTTTTTGGCTATTCTATCGTTTTTACTTATGAAAGCTCGAGAAGTAGGAAAGACAACTATCTAAAGCCCCTTCAGGATTAAGAGAAAAGTATTTGATGAACGACAACAATCGCTCATAAAGTGCTCAGAACTAACTCTAACATCGAAAATTGGCTTAACTCATCGCTTTTACTCAGTGTCAAAGTTATACCGGTGCTTGTGATGTTTTTACATTCGAGTAGAACTTAAATATGAACACACAGGGTGCATCACACGCCTTTTCAGGAATGAAGCATCCGGCTGTGAACGAATTAAAAAGGAAAAGAAGCCTTCAACAACTGCTTGTAAGCTCGTTATAAGATACTTTAATAGCTTAAACAGGGATAATGAGGATGGCTTGCTCTTTTCCTCTTTTTGGATATATTTCTCATTAAAACACCATGAAATTCCTAATTTATCCTCTTTTACTAAAAAGAGTAGTTGGAAAAGCAATCTTAGTTTTAATATTAGTCTCTCTCTTCCAATATCTCTCTTTCTGTTTTTCGTTCTCTTTCTCTCTATTCCAACCCCTTTCTCTCTCTTCATCTGCTGTCTTCACTTTTTCATTTCAAGGAATCAATAAAGCGTGCAGTAGGTCTAATGTTATTAGGAACTTGACTACTCGCTGAGAATGCCATACTTACCTTGAAAAATCTTGGTAAAAATATTTTGTCAATTTCTTCATCGCGATATAAGTCGAATATCATTTCTTGCAAATGAGTACGATATTTAGCATCATAGGACATGGACCGGGAGGCAAAGCTGCTACCCAGAACAGTGTTCTCCCGCATCAAACTATAAAAAAATTATTTTAAAAAGTTTTGCTTCTGCATTTTTTTGTTCCTATTCTTACATTAAATCCATTTCTATCAGCTATAGAGTACACAAAATCTTAACCTAACAAACTTCACAGCCGGGTTCAAACCGCTAACTTAACCCACGATTTCAATTTCGCAATTAATCACAAGATGACTTCGAAGCGAAAATTTGTGAAACTTTTTCCTGGAGGATTCAAAAAAATTAGACCAAACCGTGACACAACATATCAAATTGCACTTCATGTTTAGAAATGAAGAGGAGAGCGAGGAAAATTTGGGAAGATGAAAGAAACTCAAGTATGGGTCACATAAGCATCGTTTAATGTTTTAAATGCATGAAGTTTTTTAACCTGCGGTATCTTGAAAAATCCTCCATGTATGTCTTAGATAATCGAAGAAAACGTTTGCAATACTTAGAGTAGAAATTGAATAGGAAGCCTATGGAGTGAGAGCTGGAGTTAGGAGTTGAACTGTTTGAAGACAGTTGTTCGGTTAAGAACTCCAGTTAAGGGAGTTATCGGGACTAGAGATCTTACAGAAAATTAGCTGTTAAGATGATGCGTCAGGTCTCCGAGGAAGCAATGTGATTCTTGGATGAATGATGCCAATAGAAGCTAGGGGACAGCAGTGAGGAAATAGGGCAGCTGGGTGCAGAATGAAGGCGGAGTCCGGCTTTGGAAATAGCAAACATAAAAGCCTGAGGTAATCGGTCTTAAGCAAGCTTGAAAAAGTTATAACTTTAAAAGAAACAATATTGAGGTTCGAACCCATGAAAAGAGGATAGTAAGAAGAGGAAAAGAATAGAAGAAATGAAGCGAAGCGTTGGCGGCCGATCGATGGAAGTTAATACGTAAAAATAGCTTGAAAACTCTACGATGAATCCAGAAAAGAGGAAATCATTTTTTTGTGTCCCACAGCTACAGATGAAGAAAGCGACGAAGAAAAAGTTGGCATTTATGGAAGAAAAACGAACAATTGAGTGAGTGAGTCGGTGAATTATTCTCGCATCTCTCCTTCATCTATCAAACTGTTCAATATTACAAATAATCCAACTTCAATTCAAAATTAGAACATCTAGGAGGAATAGTGACTATATAAGATAATATGATAATAAAAGCGTATGATTTTGGTCAATGGTCATCGTATTGTAAAGCGTGAACGTTACGTAGCAGCTCCCAGCTTATTGATAAGATTATTTACTACGAAACAAAAACCATTGCTTCATTTGGGAGAATAAATAGGGAAATGAAATATAGGCGGGATATATAAGGATAGACAGCGAGAGGAGTATCTATTTTTCCATAAATATAATATTTGCTTGGTCGCTCGAAGTAACCAAAAAAAATGAAAAAAACTCATACAAATACGGAAATAGACAGAAGACAATAAACATGTTTCAAGTGTTAAAAGATTTGGGATTTCAAATTTCCCAAATGTTGCGTCATTCATTTGTCACTCCTTTACTCTGTGCTTCTCTCATTCTTTCTACGCTATTTCGCTCTCTTTTCATCAAATATTTTTTGTGTTTGAGTGCAGATGTTAGATTTGCGTGATAATTTGAGACACATGCTCTACTTAAACTTTCGCTTAGAAAAATGCCAATTCCGCATCAGTTCAAGCACTACAGGCTGTCAAGCTACTTCTATTTATAAGTTTCAGAGCCAGAAGCCTAGCACGAACTAACCAAATATGACCACGAAACAGAAAAGTATAAATTCCTGGGGTTCTAGTAACGTTAGGCAGTACTAATTGTGGTAGGCTTATGAGAACAAGTTGTGAAAAAGAAACAAAAAGAAGAAGGAAATTGATACCTCCGGAACGTGGCAACGTCAGAGATTGAATGACGTCGTTTCCGCTTAATTGCTATGGCATGGTAAGATCGTGCACCCGGAACCCGCGGCAAAATGCCACGATGCGTTGCCGAAAGACCCTGAAAAGAAGAAAAGCTAACAAAAATCTTCAAATCTGAAACTTCAAAAATAATTTAAACCAGAGAACGATGATGGTCTAACTCAAAATCATAAAATCAAACATTTCCATACAAATAAATGGATTGAAGCCTTTTTGATTACAGAAATTGAACGAACTTACTATTTGCGGTCGTAGAATACGCGATAAGTAGTTCATTGAAAGTGAAGCACAATTTTTCTTAGTAGTACATTTTTCTATAAGAAATGATGTTAATCAGGTGCTTTCGTGATATTTCCAAAGAATCAACCGACTCTAAGGAGTGCACTTCTGAAAATGAAAATGAAGAGACATTGCGTTAGCCACGTAGAAACGTGACGAGTATTTTAATATTTCACGCCACGTGGCTAACGAGTGTGTAAAGACTCGGAACTAAGCTAAGTTTCAAGAAAACAATCACTGAGGAGGAGGAAACTTATGCGGAGCAGATGCTTTCAAAAATATTTTATAACATTACAACACAATATCAGTGAGCAAAAATATATTTATAAACAACTTCTAAGCTTCTCTTGGAAGGATTTAGAGATTAGTTTCATAGAAAATCTGCGTGAATGTCAAAGGAGGATGATATTCCGTGGTGGAACTACGAAATCCAGTTAGTCAAACAGAAGCAAGAAGAGGCTCTTCGGAATGCACTGAGTGCGTAAAAACTACAAATGGCGAAAATTCCGCGAGAGAAAAAAACTAAGATCAGTTAAGTACTAAGTGATTTCGTAAAGTTTCAAGCCTTAAGCGATATATATTTGTTACCTGCAGTTTTCATGGCTGGTGCAAGTGGATCAAGTGATGATAGTTGGCAGACTTATTTTCTTGAAACCAATATAACAGAAGTTTACCCACATCGAAGATCATCTATACATTAAGTTTTACCTGTTTTTCAAATCATAACTTACTCTGTTACTTCAAATGAGGCTTCGAAAAACAAAGAGAACCTCGAGACATGAGATTCATTAATCGCTCCAGTAAGCTCGTAAGAGCATTTTCCCTCTCTTTCGAAGGTGCTTCCCAATTCAAAAATCAACTACTCTCCATATTGTCAATAATTCGCATGTGCAAGTGACATATTAACAACCTGTTTGTAAAACATACCATTCATTCGAGAACTCTAAAATATTTGAGTATCGAAAGAGGATTAAAGGCAAAACTTCTCTCTGCAACTCACAACTCACTTCATCTCTGCTTTTACTCTGCCATTTCCCATACAGGTTGACATTCAATTTCTTGTTCTTGCTATCGAACATCAAACAAATGTCTGACCTCAGTCATCTAGCATTACTTGACACATACTAACATAAACTTCGATACTTTAACTTTCTCGATGGTCTGTTTCACTTTTCAAATAAAGAGTCCATAAGCCGAAGAAATAAGTCAACTTACTATAATATCATTGTTGATTGCCACTTTCCAAATGCTTTTTGATACAGTTAATGATAAAAAAAGATAGCGACGAAAGTATAACCAAAACACTGCACTTATCTTCTTGTTTTCCAAGTACAAAGCGCTATTTAACCTTCGGGGGCATTTTCGTCCAGAAAAAAATGATCATTTTTCTTAAAAAAGTAATAATATTAATTTTCTGATTGTATATTTCATCCATAAAATTTTTAACTTTTATCAGAAACTATTTACCAGCTTTCAAACCAGCAATTTACCCAGCAATAGTAGTTGAGCAACGGAAATTCCAAAAATTGGTCCTGCCACGATGTAATTTTTGAAATTTTGCCATGTGATGGCGATATGTACGTGAATTAGTGAAGAAACATATAATTCCCTGATTTAGCTTGTATATGTTTTAACTAAGTCCAGAATATTAAAATTATGAAAGAGTTTTATCGTTTTTCTTTTCTACTGTAATTAGTTACTGATGTCTTGTCGATTTTCTTGTAATCTAAAGAGTAGCGCTATTCATTTATTTTTTCAATTATTCATTTATAGAAATGGGTAATACCCAACCCGGTGGATTAAATAAAAGAGATCGTCCAGGAGAGGGTTATTCAGGAGGTGAAAAGTTCTAAAACATTGGTTTCTATCGATTATTTGAAGGTGCCACAACCCCGAGCAGGAACAAAACATATGGAGGAAGTACTCAACCTTTTGGATCAACAGCGGAAGATGGATGCCCAGTGCAGGTTTGGTTATTGAAATTCGCTGTTAAACATAGCTTGTATTGCCTGTAGGTAAAAATTGCTAAAAGTGATGAAGAGTGTGCTGTAACTCCAACTGTTCAATTCAAAGAATCTAATGAATATCCTGTTGTTTTCAAATGGCCTTTCACTGCCACAAAGTTAGTTCCTATAGTTAACTATTCTCATGCAAAGGTTTAGTCAGCCAAATCGGGTATATATTTCTGGATCATGGGATAATTGGAAACAACGAATTCCTTTAGTGAAATCAACCAATGATTTTAGCACAATTTTGGAGTTAGTTCCAGGTTATAGTTCGCTATATAACTCTGTAATAACTTCTCTGACTTTTTTAGGACAACACGAATATAAGTTCATGGTTGACTCAAAATGGGTGATCGATGATCAGTCTCCCAAGCTTAACAATGGGCTAGGTGGAGAAAATAACTGTATAATTGTGGACGAGGCTGACTTCGAGGTTTGTATAATCAAACACACTACTTCAGCGTTTTCCTTTGTCAGGTGTTCATCGCTCTTGATAAAGACTTGGCTTCTTCCAGTGCAGGAGAAGCAATGCGAGGGGTTTCCAGCCAACAAACCACTCATGACACACCAAACGAAAAGTTGAATTACTTTAATAATATTTTTACGGCATTCGTTTAAGGGAGTTGGAAAAACATAGAACGTTTAGTCAAGACATACCAGATAAGAAAGAGTTTGAACGAGCTCATAATCCCCCTGTACTACCACCACATCTCCTTCAGGTACGAACATGTTTATAGTTTTGTAGATGACAATGAAAATTTCAGGTCATCCTGAACAAAGATACTCCCATGACATGTGATCCCAATGTGTTGCCGGAGCCCAATCATGTAATGCTGAACCATTTGTATGCTTTATCCATAAAGGACGGTGTGATGGTTCTCTCCGCTACTCACAGGTTAGAAAAATCAAATTGAATTTTTTATTTTGAAAGCGTTTATAGGTATCGAAAGAAATATGTAACTACATTGCTTTACAAACCAATTTAAAACAGTCGGATGTTTGAGGTAACCATAATAATGTGATTGCTGCTTAGATTAATTTATAACATTCATCACTGAATTTCCCTCCGTTCTTCAATACTTTCGTGTATATCTCACAATTTTTATTTTGTTCCAAGCTAGATGTTTAAGAATCATTTTATAGTTTCATGTAAATACGTTGTAGATTATGAATGTGATCGGAACTTTCATTAAAAACTTTTTTTAATATATTCTCTGGTTTTTTTCCATACAATGTCGATTTCGCCTGAAGATACACTCTTACCATCTACTTTCTACAGATGCCACGTCATTATACTATAATTCTCCATGGAGACATAAGGGATGATCAATATGAGGGAGAATTCAATATGTTTTTAATTACGTTGAAAATTTCTTTAAATGAGAACGGGAGTCACGTAACCATCGCCACTAAGCCTACTGATCAACATTCTATCGCTGTACATTTGGATCTCCGACTGAAATTCGGAACGGAAAATATAGAAGTTGGAAATGAGTAGTTTTCCATACATCCATACATCATTTCAGCTTTTTCATGAAATCTTATCTCGAGAAGAAGAGATCTACGAACATCTTTTTGAATCTGTTGAAGGAAAACTCACCTTAGAGGGTAACATAATCGAGTTTCTACCTGTAACAACGATCACTCGAGAAACTGCATATAGGGATTTTCAAATTCTGGTATCCTACCATCAGGATACTATATTCGGATAGTTTTTCAGTGTGCATCAGATTCTTATTATGTCAATCCTTTTCAAATGAGTGAAATTGGTGGAACTATTTTCTCCGACTGGAAAGAGAAATATGTAGTTTGTCTTATTCAACAATAGTATAATTATTTTTTGTAGGAAAACGATGTCAGGCGAGTTGTGGTTCAGATGGATGGTGCTGATTTGCAAATGTTATTGGAGGCCGCTCTTCGACACGATTCTATAACTATATACAGGTTAGGTTGGAACTTTTTATTGCTTAACGAATAAACAAAGGAGGAATTATCGGAGGCTTATGGGTATAGCAGAGACTTACAAGATCCATAGTGTCATGAGAGCAATAGAAACATTTTTGATGAATTCTGAGCAGCATCCAATTCGTTTATTGGAATATGCCGTGGAATTAAGAATGGCGAGATTATTCGATTACGCGAAAAGACAATTGGGAGCACCACATCAGATCATCGATAAGGTAAACGAAGAGGAGTTAAAAAAAAGTGTTATGATATTACAGCTTAACGAATACTTGCGACAAAACGGCGAGACCATGCATGATATTCATCCAAAACTTCTGCAGTCGTTAAATATAACCCACGACTACATCTGTATTTCCTAACAATCATTTGAGGAAATCATCTGTTGAGGTTTCTTTGTTTGATGCTCTTCATACTTAAGAACTCCTGAAAATGAAGCTTACTCCTATTTTTCTATTTTTTCCACTCACATGATATGTTAAGGTAACTTTACTGGATTGGAATCGAACAACTTTTACATTCATACGGAATCTTTCATCTATGAAACCGTTATACCCTCCTTTCTCAATCAAGTTATCGATGGTCTCTCTGTGATTCCAGCCTTAAATATTCTGTATAAGCTTACAAATGAGTTTGATTAACCTTGTTCAGCCGCTACTTCGGGGAGATAAACAGCATCTCGTTGAGCAACGCCATCAAAATAATGAATTCTGATACCGTGTACTCCAACTGTCCAATCCAAATAGTTTTTCGCAGGTTCGAAATTGATGAGGAGGGAAACCTAGAGCAATCATTGAAAATTGTTATCCAATTCTCGATTTTACCGAACAGCTCAAATCAGGCAGTTCCGCAAGTATTATAGGGTTGAAACGAGAATCTCTGAACGCACTTGTTAAAGCATAATCTCTTAACCCTGCATGTAATCTAAATTCAAAAAATTCAAATCTTAAAACGAAGTTAACGAACTTCAGATGAGCAAACGTGCCAATGCATCCGCGTAAGCGAGAATGAGATCCTTTTTTCCATGTAACAAATAAAGGGCTGGAGAGGTAATGTAGTAAGTTATACAGAATAAGACACCTACAACTTGTCGTTCGAAATCGTGGAAGGACAAACGGGAAGAGGCTTTCCATATAAGGCCGCGAGTAGAGTATCAAAACAAAACACGACCATTTCGGAAGTCGCCCCACATTCTTTCACTTCCACCACGTCCCTTTCCATATTTCCTACGAAAGAACAGATCTCAAGAGTTAAAGCATTCATCAGTGGTGGGAACCCATGATGACATGCGGGTCACGTTTTTTTTTCAAAATGTACTTAAGGCTCTCGGGTCAAAATAAAGAGAAATATATCGAAATTCTTCTACATATGGCATCGAATTGAAGTTTATTGAAAATAAACAAACCATTCTGCAACACACTCTTGTAAAACCATTCGAGCTTCCCCATCATTTTTAAAAAAAATAAAACTCTGTTGAGCTTTCCAAAGAAAAACTCAATAAAATTCAAAATGCACACGTCTTCATACCGTAACTTAAAAAAATTTTTTGCTTCACGGTTTGATAAGTACTGCTTGCAAGGTTCGCTGCTAATTGTTTTATTCAAAGTGTGCTTTTTCTCTATGTTTTTTCTCTACATATATTAAAAGTTTAATTCTTTATTCAGTTGGGCATGATAAACAGTCGGAGTGCCATCTTTGTACGACGAGTTCTATCGGTGCCGCATGTATCTTTAGCATCGTCTTCAACCTCAGCTAAGCAGGTTTGGTTCAGTAGATTTAACTATTGTTATGGATTTTTTATCTAGGTGAATGCAGTTAAGAGATCCACTGTTGACGATGTTACTCAAAGCTTGCTCTCTTCAACAAGTAACGTCCCTAAGCCTCTTTCAAGGATAGCTGCTGCTCTGAAAATGAAATTCAAAAAAGATAATATTGATCCTTCTTTAAAAATAGTAAGTTAATATTCGAATTGAATTGATTAACAATGCATTATTAGTTGTTGGATGGTGCTTCGGCTAAACTCTACTTTGATTGTGCAAATAACTACAACTATGATAAACTATGCCAAAGTAAGTTTTTCAGTTCCAATACGAAATCAAAATCTTATTTTGTTCTTGTGTTGTAAAACAGCCCGGAACTTTTCACAATTTTCAGACAAGAATATGTTCTAAGTTTGACTAATTGGAATTATTTCAGCGTTTGGTTTGCCTGACTATATGTCGTCATGGTTCAAACTCACTCTGTTACATACATGGTCTGTTTGATTTGAGTATATAGAATGCCGAAATTTCAGGATGGTTCTAATGCGTCTGCACATATCACTTGATGCAGAAGCATATCTTAGGATTCAGCGAGGTATACTATCCTCACTATGGTTTGATGTTGATCAACGCTTGGAAATTGTTGGAGTTAGTTATTTGGAATGGTTTCAATTAGTTTCATCGAACTTCAGAAAGAGATTAATCAAGTTCTATCTTCTAAATCTGACATACAACGAATGCATGGTCTTCATTTACAAACATTTTTGGAATATGACGAAGTTTTCAGCAAATTTCTTCATACAATCATGATTTCTAATCTAAGGGGTTTCTTCATGATGACAGAGTGCTAGCGGCTGCTATATGGCGATGTTTGTATTTGGAAAGAGAATGCGATCCTATCCATGTTCTTCGGGTTGTGAGCTACATACGTTCATCAGTTAGTCTTTCTCTTATTATCTCTGTACTAGCATAGATGTTAAGATGGCTTGGCTGGATTCTATGGATCTAAATGACATACTTGTTGATGGCATCAAAGAGTGGAAGCAGTTGAAACCTACATCAACTTTAGGTACTCCGACTAATAAAGATGATTGATTTAGTACGTTTATATCAGATAGGTTTTCATTGTTTTTTGATGTCAAACGATGTTGTTGTACATACGGGCGTATGATATTTGTTATTAGATTAAATGATTAGTACTTTACATATTCTGATTTTAGTTGAACCTTTCTTTTTACTACAAAACAGAGCTGGCATAAGGTGACGTGCCAGAGTATCTCCCAAGAAGAAGTGTTTATTGATTGTCTTGATCGTAAGGTTGGAGCTCTAGTGTGTTGTAACAGGGATTCCTCTGCTACACTTGTTTAGTTGCTCTTCGTTTTCTCTCCACTATTCTCTTCACCTCTAACACACGTTTCTTTTGGTTTTTTCGTGAATGAAAAACGTTTTGAGTTTTCTATTATGCTGTCACCTATTCCTTCTGCCAACACTCTTCTAAAATCCAAGTTCTTCAAACAAAATTTTATATTTAAAACATTAAATTGCAAGTGTTGTTTCTACCGTTTGTTGAAGATTCTCTACACAAACACTTATCCAATTTTTTATTGAAGACATGATGAATGTGTCAGATTGTCTATTTCTTTTCGATTTTTGAAAGCTCTTTAACAACACCGTGGCTCTCTGTCAACTGTGCATAGCATGTGCAACCTCATTAGAACTTTATAGGTGGAAAACTTACTCAGAGTATAGTAAAGCATACCTTCCTCGTCTCTATTCACAAATAACAGTTGTTTCATCTGTTCTTCCGCTAGAACGATATGTTCACATCTTCAAATTTTACCTGAAATGACTATTGAGAAAATACAAAACTGATTAATGAGAACCAAAGATCTTCGTAACTTCGAAAAACATCCCGAGCAAAAATTGTTTTTGTCGTAGCAAATTCCACTAACATTTTCTTCGAACTGTTTTGATTTGCAGAGCATTCGAATCAAATCTGCTATTGCAAACTATGAAATTCTAGCTTGAATTTGAACCCTTATCTTGAACTTTAATGAATAACAACTTCTTCCTAATATGTCTCCAAAAACTCTCTCAGGTACGAAGGGCGGTTGATTTCTTGATCAAAAGACAAGTTGTTCACCGCGGATTTCTTGTCCAGACAACTTTAAGAATGTTTTCGTACAAAGAGCTCCACTCAAATGCCTTTTTTTCCTCCAAAAAACATCTTCACTGATTATACAATTCTTTTATATTCTTACTGCTAACTATATATCAGTTTTTCCTAATTTTTCTGATAGTGTCAGTTGCAGTTTTCGATCGACACAACGAACAGAAACAGGAGGATTGAGAAGAAATTTTAAAGAAGCAGAGGAGTTGCAGTCGTTGGTGGCAGTTGTTTTGGATCAAATCTTGATTCACTTCTTTAACTTCTCAGCTTATTCTAATAACACATTTCATTATTATTCTAATATTCTCCCTCCTATCTTTCATATTTTTATTCTCTTAAAAACGACCGAACAGCCAAGCCATCAAATATGGCAACGAAGGCTGTGAATGGCAATGCTTTGACAACAGGCAACACCATCCGACCGCCATTCAGACGACAAGGATCAAGTGGTAAGTCTCCTTAATAGTTATTCTTTCTGAAACTTTGAAATATTCTAAAAGATATTTTCATTTCCTGATTATTTACACCCACGCATTGTTTTTCTTAACGAAAAACAACGAATGAGTCGCAAAACTTGAATGATTTCTTCCGACTCAAAAACTCTCTCAAGTTCAATAAAGCTTAAATGACATAATAGGACAATCTCTTCAAAAGATGCGCCAACTTCGATTTCCGATGTGAACAATACGCATCCTCATGCATCCTAAATACACACATCAAGTGTGCAACAGTTCTGTTTCTGAAAAAAGACAACAAAATATGATTTTTGTTCAAGAAACAATCAGGATATATCCTATATTCCTCAATATTTCATCTTTCCACCGTCTATGTTGAACTTCAAATATTTGCTCAAAGAGATCAATCTATTAACCGTCTCAGGACTTCTTCCTCGATGTCTAATCTTATCCTAGCGACGTAATCGTCTGTCGTTGAGGAAGTTTGAGACAGTTTTCGTTTCTGTATAAACTTATACCATGCTATAATGACTTATTATTACGATATTTTCCGAAGTTCTTGAAGCATTAGGCTTGCCATGTGTCTGGATGGCATATGGTGAAAGCAATATGTGCCGATGAATGCTTGGCTCTGGTTGAACTAGTGCAATCTCACCCACATTCATCCATTCATTTGACTCAAAATAGAATATTCAACTTCCAATTATAAGCAAACGCCAAGCAACAATTTACCTTTTTCTTTGTCAATATTTAATTATGCGAGGAGAGAAAGGCGAGATCAAGCCTATCCTCCCCGAAGACAATTGACGCTTATTGATAGCTTAACATTAATATATGCATCGTTTAGTCGACTTCTAAATCAATCCTTCTCCAGATTTTCTCATACTAACTTCTCAAAACTTGTTTATAAAGTTGATACATGAATGGATCGACGCCTGTCATCATTCATTCCGGTCAGCAATGAAGTACGACACTCGGAAATCGTGAATAGATACCCTGAAGTTGTATTTCGAAAAGATACTCGCAGCAGCTATCACTCTTTGGATCCCAGGAGGGCTTCCTCTGTTAACTTCTCAAATCACTATGCTTCCCGTCATTCTGTTTTTTCTACAACAACAGCATCTGATATATGGTGTTAGTAGGTTGATGTCCCTCCCAAAGAAAATTAAATAAATCACCAGTTCTTTTTTATCCAACTTAACTTTGTTTTCTAGTGGCTGCTGGACCTCAACAGATGACAGTAGCGCTCACGCCGGTTCCAAAAGTTGATTACTCAGTCACAAAGGTAGCTGCAACAATTTTTTTGAAATGACTAAATATTTATAGGGTGGTGCCAGGACTTGGGCAGTTTTACTAGTATTTATGTTTTTATGTTTTTCTATGTACACAATATTTTCTGCAAAAGAAATGCCAGTCGGTAAGTTGCAGCTTCCTGTACCGTTGACATTCGTCACCATTCAGATCTGGATGGAGATGGACATACGGATTTCGAGGATGAAATTACAGAAGGAACTTCATCTTATCAGAAAAAACATCGGTACGTGAACTGTGATTGTGTTGACATAATGAAAGCCAAACACCGCATCTAAGTTCTACAAACACCGATAAACTTATGTAACTGCAGTATAATAATAACTTTGAAACTATGAAACCGCTTGCCCTTGGTTCACCACTCATAGTAATCAAACAAACATATAACTTTGCAGCGATGATCCAGCTCAAAATGATGATCAAAAACGGACACAGGATAAAGGCAAAAATGAACCTAAAACGAATGGACATGCGCCTGAAACGGGTAAGATCTTTTGTGACTCGTAAAATGTTACCTTGCGCGTTTTGTGTGTATTGTATAGTAAATAAAATTTTGCAGCGGATGATGATGAAGATGATAATGAAGATGATCTTGAAGATAGGCTCTTTGCTGGATTACGGAAAAAAATAGAGAGAAACATCAAAAAAGTTGCAGAGTTGGTTGAAGTAACATTTTGATGAGTTGAATTATTACAATACATTTTGATATTTCAGAAAAAAATAGATAATCGGCAGAAAGATCAAGATGTTAACGATGATGATGATGACGATGATGATGATGATGAACCGCAACCACAACGTCAAACTAAGAAAAGGAAAGACAAACAGTTGAAAAAGAAAGCAAAAGATGAGATCGATGACGAAGATGAAGACAACAACGGAGATGAAGATGATGACGATGAAGATGATGGCGGTAATAGAAAGGAAGAGCTGAAGAAGGTTGGATGCAAATCTTGTTAGATCATTCTAATCGAAAAATTTTCTTTTTAGTCGACCATGCGCAAGCTTAACTCTCGACGTCAGAATCAGAATAATCAAAAAGATAATAGCAAGTCGGATGGTGGAAAGCAAGGCAAGAAGTTACTAGAAAAAAATAAAGAGGCAGAAGCTGACCGTGACGATGATGACGATGATGATGACGATGATGATGATGATGATGATGACGATGATGATGATGAGGATGAAAAAAAAAACAGTAATAGCAGGAAGCTAAGCAAGGATTTGAAGAGTGATGTGAGCTTGATCCAGAATATTTCTATTATTGAAATTATTTTCAGAAAAATGAGAAGAAGCGTTCGGAGTTAAACGATGATGATGATGATGATGATGAGGACACAGACGGAAGCAAAAACTCGGGCAAGAAAGAACCTTTGAAAAAAGTGAAAGTCGAGCCGGAGTCGAAAAGTGATAATAAAGCGGATAAGAAAAACGATGATGATGATGATGATGATGATGATGATGACGATGATGATGATGACGACGACGTTTACGGTGAAGAAAATACAGTTATGCCTAGAATCAAAAAACCTGGACGGTTCAAGTACTTGTGAACTTACAAGCTGAGTTAATAATCTTCGATTTCAGACATATCACTCAGCCATTGAAACAACGGGAATGTAATCGGAAACATTGTCCGAATATGGTGGATGTTACTCCACGTAAATCATTATTGAAAAAGAAGAAGGTAAATACTATTCAGTGCAAAGTTTAAATTACCTTATGTAGAACCAAAGAACAAACCCGAAGTTGAATGACTTCAAAGATGACTTCGAAGAGAGTGACAATGAGGAAGAGGATGATGATAACAATCTTAATGAAAACGATGAAGATGATGATGACGAAGGAATCAGTTCTGAATTTGAAAGTCTTCCAATACAAGAAGTGGTAGCTGTCAAAAAGTACAAGTGAGTCGGATTTTGCTAATTGCAACCAGTTCTCTTCTCCATGTCGTGTAAAATGAAAATAGAAAAGCTTGTATGGTGCAAGCGAAGAACAGAGAAATATAATAATTAAGCTTATTCAACTTGGAAATTCAATTTCAAACTATATCTTACAGATCTGTTGGACGCGAAGGGTACAAACGTCATGCCATAACCAATAAAGATGATCATCGTCACAGAGATGTTTTGGATAAAGCAGACTTCTTAGTGGAAAAGGTGAAAAAAACTCCAAAAAAACCTAAGTTTAGAACATATGACGATCTCTAAATCATCATTGCTTATGTAAACGCCTGCACCCTTTTCCTAACTTCTGTTTCTCTAATATCCCCATGTAAGGAATTGTACGAAAATATTCTCGCTTTACTAACATCTTATAACAAAGCCCACCAGTCCTTTTTATTTATGATTGACATTCATCCTTATTGCTGCCAAATTTGAAGTTTCTCCTCTTCTTCAAACAATGGTACGGGTTTAGTTAAGTGCCTTGTTTTTCTGATCTTGTAATGGCAGAGTTCTTAGAGAACAAAATCAATTGGATTCACTAAAAATCGCTCAAAAGTATTAGGTGTCGATTAGGTTCGAAAATGCTCTTTTCTCTTATCCATTCTTCTCGTTTCATCTGTCGGTCAGCTTCGTCTTGTTCTGATTCCAGATTGTTGTGTGATTCTAATAATAAATGTTTGTTTCACGTGTTACTTTTCATTGAATTCAAATAAGGAAATCGCTTCTCCTGCAGTCGAAGCATGAATGATGAGACAATTCAACTAATACTCTTGTCAGCATTTCGTTCAATGTCTATCGCATGTTTATAATTTTGTTTCCAATTTAATTCAAATAATTCTTGTAATTTCAGCACGATTATGACGAAGCTATCGCATTGTTCGATTCGGTCATTCTTCAGCATCCTGAATCTCCACGAGCTCATTTTGGAAAAGCTCGAGCTTATGATATCAGGTTATCAGGCTTTACCGTTCAGTCGTTAATCCTTTCAGTTTATTTACTCTTCTAGAGCGGAATACTCTTCTGATGAGAAGTTCTATGATATGGCAATGAAAGAATATCAAACTGTTCTCGATAATGATGAAACTCCCGAAGCATTGTTCAGGTTAACTTAGTTCTCTGCTCCTATGTACTATCTTGTGTTGTAGGCAAGCTGGAGATCGGCTTATCGACAGAGCTAGATTTTTGGGACAGTTTCATAGATGTTTACAAGCTCATCGAACAATAATCGACAGGTGAAGAATATGAGAAAATTTTTTTTAGGAAGAATAATTTCAGATTCCCAGAAGAAATAGAGTTACAAACAGACTTCGGCCGTACTTTTCTCATGATGAAACGGCATGATGACGCTCGGAAGATCTTCCATGACGTTTGAAAAATTGATGAATAATTATATAATGAATAATTTCAGATTCTCCAAGTCGATCATAATAATGCTGTGTCTTTAGCCTATTACGGATATATACTTAAAGTGGTTGATAATGATATCGAAAATGGTGTGAACTATATGCGTAAAGGACTCAGATTAGGTGGAGAAGATCTTGCTGATCCTAGGTTTGTAGAAGAAGTTTTCGATGTCTCATTATAGCATTTTGAGATTCTACTATCATCTGGGCCATGGACTAACGTTCTTGGGACGTGATGATGAGGCCTTAGCGGTTTATGAAAGAGGTGCTGAGCTGGGAATATTTTTATCAGCTAAGCAGAGGTCTATGCACAATGTGGACGGCTTGACTGGAAGACCATGGTGGTCACTGGAACAGACTACTTACACAAAATATCTCAAAGTTTTTCAAATTAAGAGGCTTAAAAATTAAACTTCTAATTAAGGCTTTGGAAAGACAATGGGTTGCTATCCGCCATGAAGCCATTACTGCCTTAACAGAAGATCCAGACCAGTGGGAGAATGAGAATGATATTTTCACGGTGCTATCCGCTTCAGAACTAATCTTTGACTTCTATTTCAGTTTGATGGTAGATGGGAACATTTTTCAATTATGAAGAATGATAAATTCGATGAGAAACATTGTAAAAGAATTCCACTAACCTGTAGTTTATTGAAAGATTTCAAAGAAATGTCCAATGCCATTAAAGGAGGAGTGGGTTACTCTCTAAACTGTCCTTTACAATCTCCTGTTGCAGATAAAGTTCTCTGTCTTATCATCTGGAACAAAAGTTCTTTCACACTGTGGCCCTTCAAACACTCGCTTACAAGCTCATATGGGTCTGGTTGTTCCATCTGAAGCAAGAATCAGGTAAATATAAAGTTACTTTCATTCATAACTTTTGTTGGTTTCAGAGTTGGTTCTGAGCAGAAAGGTTGGAAAACTGGTAAATTCATAATTTTTGATGACTCATTCGAACACGAGGTTTCCTTGTCAGTATCATATGTGTATGATAACTATTGTTTCAGATGAGCTTTGAAGGAGCTTCTTCGTCCGCATTCCGATTAGTTCTTGTTTTGGACTTGTGGCATCCAGAGGTGAACTGTTCTATTTTTCATATTTTCCTTAGCAAGCGCTTCTAGATTGATGCCCGTCAACGTGTGCAAGATGAATGAAAGAAAAAAAAAAGAAAATGTTTTTTTGTTTGAAAAAACCACTTCGTCCAGCATTTTTTTCCTCCTCGTCGCTGAAACGTTCAGCGTGTTAAAAACATATCTTTAGGTCAAATCTTGCCTTAACAAAGAGGATACGTCAGTATTATTTGTTCAGGATAGCGAAAATCATTCAGAATCTCGGTGTTTAATGTAAATATTCATATAATAAACATTATACTATCAACTTCTTGGCATCGAAAAACTAAAGTTGTTTTGAAGTTTTAGCGGAAACATAGAACATAAACAGAAAAGTTTATTTATAGTTTTCTCTGATTACAAGAGATCGTGATGTTCCAAAAGTTATGGTCGAACCAATCCATTTCTGAAACTTGAACCAATCAATTTTGGAATTTGCGTTCAGATAATTCCGCGCTCTACTGATAAAACTCTAGCGCTGCGCTGAATATCGAGTATGTCTGATCTTGTCATACTGTCGTGCTGTTCATTTCATTGCTTTGTTTTTAACTTAAAAGCGCATAACTTATTTCTGAATTTCTTTATTCTCCCCTTTTTTGCTTTCAGGGGGTATATCGAGAGATTGCCAAGTTCTAAGTTAATTTTGCTATCTCAGATTTTTAAAACTGGACAGGTTTATGTGAGAATGTATTATTATTACCCGTACTATGTACGACAAAGCGTACATGTTGTCAGTGAGCAAAAGCCGATCTGAATGTGAAATGTGAAACAATTTGCTACCATGATACAAGCAATTTCTAATTTGTTCTACAAAGTTCCTAGAATACCCGCTAGAAATGTTATCCATGCTGTACTGGCAATGCTCTGACGTTATCCCTCTTCTACATAGCACGCCACATTTTTTTTGTTTAATTTTTTTCAGAAAACACTTTGCACGGGTCTTTGTGTGAAATTCCAGCATGACCGATCCGTGAAACCAAACTGCTGCAGAATGAGATTGAAGAATTTTCATTTTCATCGATAGAAAGCTTGTCGAGCAGTAGTGCTTTTCATTTCATTGCTTCGTTTATTTGTGAGTGAGCGGTCGTGCACTATTGTAGGAAAAAGCAGAATTTCAATTCGGAATTTTCGATACTTATTTCTGAATTTCTTAATTTTCCGCTTTTTTTGTTCTTCAATTTGTTTCTTTTCTCAAGTTTACGGCCAGTCTGAGTTCTCGAGTTTGCTCTGAAAAGTTTCATCGGTCCGTTCTGTATGGAGGGCGATTTTTCCATAACCCAGTTCTCCTGTGATTTGTTTTATGTCTTTGACTCATGATGATGATGTCGTCATAATAGTTTGAACAACTTTCGAATTGAAAAGAAGGAGAAGATGTACGCTGATCAGTATTGAAACGAAAATTAAATTAATTGGAAGATGGTGAGGATTTGCGAGGTGAGAGAGTAGTTTCAAGCTCCTCTCTATGAGGAGTTCCCTCGCTGGCAACGCAGACGCGTGGTGTCTGGCAGGGTACAACCGAATGTACATTTTTGCTGATTTTTTAACATATTTATGGGAAATACAAACACTAGGGATAAGGGGCCAGTTAGGATTGTTAACTGTTAATCATAATGATTAAATCATAACTGACATACGTGATCTTACGTAGGTTACTGTAGTTGCACGAAACTTTTTAATGACACATCCATTGTTTTCGAAATTAATTTGATTATGCAAATTTCTATTTTGTTATTTGCTTTTTACTTTTTCCGGTTTTTATTCAGTTATTATAGGTATTGCCACGATGATGCCTTGACTGAACAGAAGTGTCACGTCGGCTGATGTTCAAGAAATTATGTTTTATAGGAATTGGTAGGATATTCTTGTTTTCGTAGTTTGTATTCTGCTTTTTATTTTTATGACAGT